CTCGATGGACCAAGAGAGCTAAACTCCTCCGAGAAGCAGGACTACCCCCCCTAGAACACCTCCTAACGTATCGCTCAAGAAAGTACGGAACCAGAATACTCTGCACTGAGGCAACCCACCCCAACAATGAATCCCTGATCGAGCTCCTCCCATACAGAGAAGCAAACATCAAAGGGACAGGCCTACACCGAATCGCCTCCCTCCTACTCCCATATCAAACCCCTGGAAATGCGAGAGACAAGTGGAATCAAAACAAATTACTACGCGACCACCTGTTGGAAGAATGGAATACACAACCAATACCGGACTACCATCACCGGGGGGAATTCCGCCCCCCTTCCAAGATTGCGAGACTCACCCTAACGGAAGCGAAAAAAGTTTTTCGAATCCGGTGCCAAACTACCCGAATCGATAAACACGCGGTATATACAGACCCCGAACCATGCCAGTGTGGGATGGAAAATTCAGCGAAACACATACTTATGGAATGCCCAGCGTGGGCTCGAACCCGCGCCCCTCTGATAGAAAAGATCCCCGGAGCGATGACCTGGGAAAACTGGATGTTTACAAACTTGAAAACGGACCTCATCTTACAATTTGCGAAAGATTCTCAACTCTCGAAGTGGTACGAGCCGGCGGAAGCGGAGGAAGACCTAGAAGAGGGGATGGAAGGAAATGATTAGGGACGGGATTAGGAAGGGTGGATTCCTTTTACCTTTTAATTTTGGTTTATTTTGTTTTGATAGATCCAGCGCCCGAGTTCGCTGAGATATCTTATTTCTCCTTGTCGTTGGGTTGTTTCTGGTTGAGTGTCGTTCTGGAATCTCCTTACTCTTGTTTGTGTTCGTTCGTGTTCGCTTTTGTTCTTGTTGTTTGTTTGCGTTTGTTGTTTTCTTTTCTTTCGTTCTTTTGTTCGGTTTGTGTTTAGGCGGTTGGGTCGGCGTGCGATAAGTCTTGTACTTCAAAGCAATATAAGTTTCTTCTTCTTCTTCTTCTGTATTTATTCTGTAACGGGGGTCCTTTCTAAGAGAAATAGAATCGGATAGAATAGAGACGGCCGTGCAAGATAGACAATCAGGTTGCAGGTTATTCAAAGATACTATCGCTAGAACTCAATAATCTTTAAGGGCTCTGCTACCGATAAGAACTTGGTTTTTCTTTCTAATGAAGACTGGAGAGAACAGGACTGAAGGGCGAGAATGAACTTGAGTACTTATACTCCGAAGGCCTCTATTCTCTGCTCCTAACTCCTTTTACTAAGTTCCGGCGTAGCCTTTCCTCGGTGCCGGAAACAATACCACCGCTACCCCGCTTTTCTCTAAGCGTCAGCAGGTGTTTCTGATTACCCAAGGCAACCACCCTTAGTCAAAGCCTTTGTAACACCTGCAGCCTTGGTTGCCACACAACCGAGGGCCTGCATAAATGAGCTGCGGCTCAGGTATAAGCTTAATCATTACTGTAGAGGTTTCACTTATTGTAGACTTCCCTAGCATAGTCCCTACCCTTCGGCGGACTTATAATGCTTAGAGGATATAGAGGATCACTGGGCAATCAGAGCTTCACTCTGGCCAGTCTTCTAGTCACTGGCGAGGCATAGACTCGTCAGTCATTGCTCCCATGAATAGATCCCCTTCCTAGCGCCCGGAATGTAGTTACTCTAACAGCTGGTAGCTAACCACACTGCCGGTACTTGCATATCACCGTGCAACTGGCTTCTAACAATAACTCTCAGCATGTAACCGGGCCCTGTGTGTACTCATACACCAAACAGTTGAGATGGCTCCGTTACATATTTCACGAATATTACTTTTGTTCTACGCTACGTCATAGGGCTCATCTTGGATCTCTGATCAGGATTGAACCATCCCATAGTTCATAGTCACGAACGTCTTCTACTACGTCCTCACCTCGGTTGTATTCCTTGGCACTATAGTCCATCGTTCATAGACCCACGTTATAGAGATTCATACTCGACGTTGATTGAAGAGACCTTAGTATCACGGGGGCTATAGGCAATAGACTGTGGTGCCAAGGAATACAACCTCGGTAGTGACGTAGACGTGGACGTAGACGTAAAGGTATACTTTAACTATAGACTATGGGTGGCTCTACCTGGTATGATAAACCGGTTGGAGCCCTATGACGTAGTACAGACAAAGAGTAGTATTCGTGGAATAAATACAGAGGTTGCGTAAGGAAGAAAGAGAAGAAGGAAAACAGACAAAAGCAGAAGACAACGCCCCCTTATATATCCATCCATAATCCAATGATGACTAATACCTTCGCATAACAGAAACCCAAAGAACATAACAGAAATCCCCATTACAAATCCTAATTCCACTACACGATACCTCCTTCCCTCATCCCAGTTCATCACCTAGCCGAAATACATAGCTGCCGTTACACTTAGAGACTTCTACCTTTGTAGCTGTTAGCCGAACTCTGAGCTCTGCATAGTGTACTCTTGTGATCTCGTACGCATCCCTCACAAACAGTTACATTTCTCTTAGAAGTGACCCCCATTACACTTGTATATCTTCAAACAATTAGCATTTAATAATAATCCTAAGCATCTAACTGATCTATATGTACCCATTTATCAGACAAGTAAATAGACTCTGTTATAGTAATCAATAAGACTTTTTAAAAGGTGAGTACTGCATAAGAATTATATAATACCATCAACATGATTTTCAAGATCAGAAGATACAAATATAAAATCACTTTGAATCTCTCAATCATTTATTTATATTCTACACCAAGTTCCATTGTGAGTTAAATTTGATAGAAAGATTTTGCCAGTGTTCTGCAAACAGTCTCATGGAAACAGTTCCTACTGTGCTGATCTCTGTTTCTAATATTTCTATTCGTAAATCTCCCCGTATTGTATGAGAATAATTGATACATATGAACAGGGTTTGGATTACGGGACAAAAGAATTTACAAACCGTGTATAAAAAAATCATAGGCACATCCCGGACAAGAGTAAATGGAAGCGGGGCGGATCATAATTTTTCCATTTAGTATATCCCTTTCCAGTTAGCAGTGGTATTTGTCATCAATATTATGTTCGACAATTTCTAGCCTCTACATACAAACTCAAGCGTTTTGAAAATTAATACCACTTTCAAACAAGCATTAAAATTATTCGAGTTCTCTCACATTGTAGAGTATAAGCAGCAGATTATTATTACAGTCTTAGAACATTACGAAAGGGTGGTGGTTGTCAAAGTATAATCCTCTAGTTATAGGTATCCGCCGCCATATTAGCAGTCTATGCATCATTTATGCAGTCCAATATGCCAAGCCAGTTCTCCTAGGATAGTGGCGGTCGCCTACCTACATCTACATGTGAAGGACCCCCTACCAGTGAGGTAACCCAGCAACGGTCCCTTTGCGGTTAAGGCACCAGATAGCGCCCGCAATTACCGCTTGTCCTCAATTGCCGGGGTTGGCTTTAGGTGTTCAAATAACGTATGCCAAGATTCACTTATCCCGGGTTTGATCTTCGGTTCGTACCGCGCATACTCGATACTCGATACTGAACCTGCCCCTCCCGCTTCTGAAAGTCACTCGTCAACACTATACCCGTTACAAGCTCCCTCCGCTGATGCTTTTCCAGTCGATTTGAAGCGTTTGCTACTTTCTATTTAAGTTTACTTTCGTCATTACTTTCGCAGTCCATCTATATTCGCTTCATGTCGATTAGAAGGTCGAAGTTCGTCTCCCGGACCAGCGAGGATTTCACCTCCCAACTTACTCGCCGGAACGCTCCTCCTAATGACGAAGAGTCGAATTTACCATCTACAGCTAAGCTATGGCTTGGTGTGGGAAAGACGAATGACAATGTTCCTAAAATGGTCCGGGGAATCACCATAGCCGATGAGGAGAAGATCCATGTGGGAAAAGTCAAGAAATTGGGTACATTTAGCGGAGTAGGTAGCCATAGAGCTCCTGTGGACTAGACATTTCGTTGATAATGGATTGCTAGGTTTTTGTTCCAACCACATTAAATGTTCTATCCATTCTCATGTTCCTGAGATTCGGGTTCGTCCTGGGACAAGGAGGAATACTTGGAATGTTTGGTATGAACCGGTATTCACCTGAAATGTCAAAAAACCCTACCTAACAAAGCCTTCGTAATCAAGGTATGCTTTTAGTCAGGTAATGGAAATAATCTCACCAGACAATGATGAACTTAGGCCATTCAATAAAAAAACCGGAGTGAAGCACTGTATCGTAATACTTGGCGTCTTATAACTCTTACAGAACGATTTTTGTTTTTGGCCAGTCCAAATCATCACGCTTCACATGCTGACTTACGCGGCGTAAATAGTTACCTTATCAACTTGATTACTACACTGTCAATATCCGCCATCTCTTCAAATGGTACAGTTCGTGGCGGTGGCGCGTATTATCTCATCTCACGCTCCTTAGGGCCAGAGTTCGGAGGAAGTATAGGCCTAGTATTTTATTTAGGTTTCGTATTCAACACAGGCATGAATGCTGTTGGCATGATTGACTGTTTGATGAATAATTTTGGAGACAAGATTGGCAGTGGTCCACAGATTTTTCCAGACACATTCGTCGGTTCCCCCACCTAAATCCACACATCTACCTCTTCTGAGGATATGGGTGGTCTTAGGGTCCGTTTGGCAGCGGGGCGGAACGGAGTTTCGAAGAGTGAAAATCTAACCAAAAGAAACGGATTTCTCACAGCCATAAACTCTGTTTTGGCCTATTGCTGAACGGTCCCTAAGATGAGGTTTCCTTATTACTGATGGGTAATGGTGTGAGAACAGTGGTATCGATATCTCTATGCTACTGCAGTCTTGGTTTTTTGCACAATAATTTGCCTTCTTGGCTCTGCCATTTTTGCCCGTGCATCAAACTTTCTTCTCGCCATCCTCCTTTTTGCAACATTTTCTATCCCCGTATCAGCTCTTTTGGTCAAGCCATTTCAAGATATCAGCCATGACGTTCTCTATACCGGTCTGTCAATGGATACATTTATGGAAAACCTCCGGCCAAGGTTCACGAAAGGAGCCGCTGGGAGTCAGATATCAGGAAGGTAAGTAGTCGTTATTATGCTCTTTATAGCATTCTAACAAGTTGTAGAGAGAACTGGCAAGATTTGTTTGGTATTCTCTTTCCAGCCACTGCTGGAATCTTCGCCGGTGCAAGCATGTCCGGCGACCTTAAGAATCCCAGTAAATCGATACCAAGAGGTACTTTGCATGGTTTGATGTTGACATTTGTGGCCTATACATTGGTGATTCTCTCTATGGGGGCCACTATTAGACGCGAGAGCCTATATAAAAACCTCAACATAATCCAGGATGTATGCTGCCGATCTCACCAAATACAAGTATATAACCAACTAATTACTTATTGCATAGGTTAACATGTCGAAACATCTCATTCTTGGTGGGGAACTTGCATCTTCATTCTTCTCAGCTCTGATGGGAGTAATCGGTTCCGCAAAGTCATTACAAGCGTTAGCCCGTGATGGGATACTTCCTGGTGTATCTTTATTTGGCCAGGGAACCAAGTCAAACGATGAGCCAACATATGCGATTATACTGACCTTTCTTCTCTCTCAATTAACTCTGCTATGCGATATTAACCAGATCGCCAATTTTGTGACTATGACGTATCTTATGACATTTCTAGTCACAAATTTGGCCTGCTTCCTGCTAAAAGTCGGAAGTGCACCGAATTTCAGGCCGAGTTTCAAATATTTCACCTGGTGGACAGCTGCGGTCGGAGCAGTTGTCAGTGGTGCAACTATGATATTTGTATGTATCATCGCCATTCTTGGATATATCAATTTAACCATTCGAGCAGGTTGACAAACTTTACGCTGGAGGCTGTCTTGGCGTCTTGGTCACCCTATTCTTAGTTATTCACTACACTACGCCACCTAAGAGTTGGGGAGACGTTTCTCAGAGTTTGATCTATCATCAAGTCAGAAAGTACTTGTTGAGACTGAAACAGGAACATGTGAAGTTTTGGAGACCTCAGGTATATTCAATTTACATAATCTGTGATTTCCCAAGGACATCCTCTTATGAAGCAACTTTAGATCCTGTTATTTGTAAATGACCCCCGGAGATCTTGGAAATTGATTCAGTTTTGCAACGGTATTACAATCACTTCTTTTAAGTGAAACTAAGAAAGAAACTGAGACTTACTTGTTTTCTTGCAGCTATGAAAAAGGGATCTTTATACATCCTTGGACACATCGTTGTCACTCCGGATTTTCAAGACTCATTTCCAGAGGTTAAACGGCAACAAGCCGCCTGGATGAAGTATATCGATTTCAGCAAAGTCAAAGCGTTCCCCCAAATATCCATTGCCCCTACTATAGAATGGGGTGCAAGGAATATTGTGCTCTCGGCTGGCTTAGGAGGCATGCGCCCAAATATTGCAGTCTTAGGGTTTTATAATCTAGATGAATACCGCAACTCAAAACCTCTGGTAGATATTCCGTGTACGTCAAAGTCAAGGAATACAAACCCAACACATCAACCTACACCTCACAACACCCAGTCTGGTAGGGTTACAACTCATATATTAGACCAGCTCCCAACGGATACCATGCGGAATGAAACCGCCGTCAGTGTTACCAGTTACGTCAATATCTTGGAGGATTTGCTTCTCTCTCTACAGATAAATGTGGCCGTTGCGAAGGGATTTGAGAACTTGGAACTCCCTACAAAGGGTAAAGACCATGACAAAAAGTATATTGATCTCTGGCCAATTCGTAAGATCTCAATCAGCCTTTCGGCCCCTAGATATTACTAACATACCAATAGAAATGTCTGCTGAAATCGAAAATGGCACTCCTGGCGCCGGTAATATCCTAACAACAAACTTCGATACTTATACTCTTATACTCCAACTGGTAAGTCCCTTAATACTTGTCTATGAAAGCATTTGTACAAATGCCCCAACCACTTCTATATCTCATTCTTCTCTAGGGTTGCATTTTAAATACTGTTCCAGCGTGGAAAAAGACCTACAAAGTTCGAGTAGCAGTATTTGTTGAGTATGAAAGTGACGTTCATGAGGAAAGGGCTCGAGTTAAGAAGCTACTGGAAAATCTGCGCATTCATGCCGAGGTCCTGGTTATGTGGCTTGCAGACGGCAAGCTGAGCTCCTACGAGGCAATTGTGAAAGGATGTGAAAATGAAGACGATAATGTGGAGATCGTACTTGGGAACGAACAATGGTGGAAAGAGTTGCAAAAGCGCAGGGGCCGAGCGTCATCTCGTGATGCTCCTGACCATCTCGCCGATGTAGCGCAACTTGTAAGTGGAGACCAATGGCCAAGCAGCAGCTTTCAACAACAGAGACGATATGACAGCCGCACAATGTTCGGGGGGATAAATAAGCTCATCAAAAAATCCCGCAAGCGGCATTCTATCTTTGGCCTGACTAGACTAGGAATGCCTCTGTCTCTGAATATGAGGACTCACCGCCTCAATCCAGATGCTCTCGAAAATGAATCTACTTCTGAGCTTTCAAGTGACGGTGAAAGCGACACCCTTTCTAGCGAAGATGAGAGCATCAAAAGCGCTGCAAGTGAAAACGACGCCGATGAGTACTCAACTGACGAGGAACATCCTCCTATCATCAAAGTTCGACGTGCCAGCACTGGCGATCCTTTGGGATTTGGTACTACTTACAGGAAGCAAAGTCTGCGACAAGCAGCGCTCAGAGCCTCTGCACTTAAGTCCACATCGACTAAGGAAGCGCAACCACGTAAAGAAGCGGGTTTAGCTATTGGCTCGACAGGAGAATCGTCTACAACGCCTATTCCTTCGCTCACTAGGCCTGAGCTGCCACATCGTAGTTCCACTCCAATCTTTTCCTGTCAACCAGTTCCGGATACTGAAGTGGCGGTGGAGGAGGGTGTTGGCCCTAGTATTATGTTTACGGATACACGTGGTAATAGGGTACAAGCACCCCCAACGTTTCTCAACCCTTTATCCTTCAATGATTTGCCCTCGAGGGCACAACATCTTATTTTGAACGAACTTATACGGAAACATTCTCATGATACAGCTGTCGTCTTTACTACTTTGCCCTCGCCCCAATCTGGCACATGCAAAAGTGAGAAGGACTCGGTTGATTATCTTGCTGGACTAGAGGTAAATCATCTGATAACCCCCTTTGTTCCTCATGTACTTACACGGCGGCCTATAGGTTCTTACTGCCGAACTCCCCCCAACTCTCCTTGTCCATTCAAATTCTCTAACTGTCACTACGGCGTTGTGACCTTCTCCTAAGCCTTCTCCATATGTAAATGATTGGTCTTTGATCCGATGATTAAACACGTGCCAATATACTTTTAAATTTCGAATCTTTTACAGTGTTTTCTTTTTATCATCTACATACTCTACATAAACATGAGAACCAGGACTACATAGCATTAGCGTTGCTTGAAAGTTGGAACTGATTCACTATATATATATTCAAAATTGGCTACTTTACGCCATGCTCACAGGTAACTGCGTCTAGACTACGAAATCACAGAAAGTACAGCAGACGCTCGAACATCATGTGGGCTCCAAGATTAATTATGGTACCTCTATGCGACGATGTCAATAGTAGAGTATGAGATTCGTTCGCTGGCTATTTTAGAACCTAGGGTCCGTTCACGATAAGCGGACGGCCGGTTACCACCGGAAAGTTACGTATGATGAACTCGTTGTACATGGGATTCCATTACCGGGTTTGGCCTCCTTGCACTGTATAGTAATCCTCCAAGAATCCACACACAGCCTAAATAAAATATTAGATATAAAATCTCACCAATTCTTAAAGATTTAACTCTTTATCCATTTTCCATTACCATATCTCGCTACTTAAAACATAAAAATGGTCACTTCAGACTCAAACCCTTCTACTCAGCTGCGGCACAAGAAGCTACCGTGGATACGAACACCTTTATTAGAGAGCAACGCTCTCTCCAAGGCAGCAGGATGGTATGTACCGAATCTAGTAGTTTCTTTGTCGAGCTAATTTTCTGTGAAGCAGAGTGTTTATGAAGATGGATATGTTCCAACCGTCTGGATCGTTTAAATCCCGGTAAGATCACTATTCATGTTCATTCTCCGGGAATTTGAGGCTAGTTGAGCGTTGCTAATTTTCTAAAGTGGAGTGGGAAACCTATGCCTTAAAGCTGTTCAGTCAAGGCCAGGACCAATAAGATTCTACAGCTCAAGTGGTGGGAATGCAGGTATGTGCAGTTTCTCTGTTGCCATGAGCCTGTTCGATCGTTAATATGATTTATCTGGATTATTAGGACTCGCTGCTGTGACAGCTGCTAGACTGTTGGGTCATGAAGCGACCGTGGTGGTTCCCGAAACCACCACAGAGCTCATGAAAGCTAAAATTCGCGTCGCAGGTGGCGAAGTCATCTCTCATGGCGCCAGTTGGAAGGAAGCGGACGATTACATTCAAGGTCTCCTAGAAATGGACGATCAAGGTGTTTATTGCGCTCCTTTTGACCATCCAGATATTTGGGAAGGAAATGCCACCTTAATTGATGAGATTATTGATGATCTTGGAGGATCTCCGGACGCAATAATTGCATCTGTTGGTGGTGGCGGGTTGTTCTGTGGCATCCAGTTAGGTCTTATGGGCCATGGATCCCCCGATGTACCAATTCTAGCTGTTGAGACGGAAGGTGCAGCTTCTCTTAATGCAGCTCTACAGGCTGGTTACCATGTAACCCTACCCGCAGTGACCTCCATCGCAACTTCTCTTGGTGCTCGAAGGGTTGCTGCAAAGACATATGAACTTGGACAGAGGCCCAATGTTAAGTCGGTGGTCTTGAGCGATGCCCAAGCCGCGATGGGCTGCTGCAGGTTGATGGACGACGAGAGGGTAGCAGTGGAAGCCGCATGCGGGGTTTCCGCGGCTGCTATCTATTACGGTCTTCTTGGAAAAGTTGTTCCCGATCTTCAACCAGATAACAAGGTTGTTCTCGTTGTCTGCGGCGGTGAGTAGCAGTTCACTCACCAAATTCCCTACAACCATGATTTTCTTGTGAGACTAATTATAATCCAGGTAGTAATATTTCCGTAGACATGCTTGCCGCATATCGTGAAATGTATGGATCGAAGGCAATTGTGGGGGAAGTCAACGATAGAGACGTCCCTAGCTCTCATACTTCTTAGATTCCTGTTGTCAGGTGGATGGATTGCTTTTCTGATTTCTGATTGATTTTAAATTTTACACATTTCTTTCTTGCACTGAATGATAATAATAGTAGTGAGCAAATTAGAAGCAGCATTAAGTGTCAAAGTACTTAACATCATAATCTTCTGAGGTTTCGCCGCTCACCTATCAAAGTAGAGGCCTGGCGGGAAAAGAAAAGAAAATTGAATATATCCGCTTTCCTTTAAGACCAGTATACGAATAGTGATCAATCTCGTTTATATCCCCCTTATGAGCCCAGCTCGGTAATTCCAATAATTGGCTCTGATGGGGTCATACTTCTTCGCCAAAAGATCCAGGGCCATCACCGCCTGTTCCTTTTCCGCCTTCTCCACATAGATATCAGCCAGAATGTCCAAGGCATGTGATGATTTTATTTTGTCGGGGTTATCCAGCGGAGCATAGTGAAGGCACGTCTCCTCAATTGTTGAGAGTGAAAGATTTGCTTTTTTTAAGGCCCTAAAGACATCATAAATTAGAATATAAACTTCTCACGGGACATTTGGTCAACTAACCCGCGCAAATAATTCCAGGGACTCGGATTTTGGGGAGCAATGAAGATAGCATCTTCGCAAATGCTATTCCGTGAACTAATATCAGCAAGGATGTAGATATAGCTGAACAGTGGGAAGGTATCACCTTATTTCACGGTCAACAATTTCTTTAGGGACGTCTTGATCTCTACCGAAAACCACAAAGAATCGATGGTTCCATGCTGAGTTGTTTCTGATATCCTTCTTTAGTAAGATATCGATGTATTCGATTTCACTAGGACTCTCCCATAGATCAAATCGTCGTACAAGCCATTGTCTACCCGCGCGTTTGTCAGCCGGAGATTTCCCAGCTCCATTGCTCGGAATAGATGATAAGATTAGCACAACCTATAAGACCAAACGTGGTAGTTTTTTGAATCCTTCTCAAACATAGATGCCGTAAACTCTGCCTCGCCAGTCACGTCGCCAATCTTTTCCATGATCAACTGACGGTGGTGCCAAATTTGATAGTTCTTTTGGTGTTTTAAAGCCATCTCATTGAGGAATACTTGTTCCTTACGCAAGTCCCCCCCCAAGGCAAACAAGGTTTTTGCTCTGTAAAGCCTTTGAAACAAAAGCAAAATTAGTGGCAGTTCCCGAGGCTATACATCATAGGGTCAAAGATCATTACCACACTGTGTAGTGCGCGGGGTTCATTTCAATAACGTCTTCCGTAACTTTGAGCACCCTTTCGCTGACTTCGTCCTTGGCCATCACAGCGCGAAGATAAGCCATGGCCTCAGCATATTCCTCGGTATATGCTATTTGGGCGAGAGGATGAACGCCGTCATCCTGTGGGAGGGGTACAACATCCTCCCATTCAGGATCCCCGGAATAGAACGACATCTTGCAAATAGTGGACTAGAAGGTTGGTTACAGAATCTCTCGCAAAGAGGATTTTTGTATACCGAGTGCAGTGGGGTCGGGTTAAAAAGAGGTGTAGCAACAAAGAAAGGTCTTTTGGTGTGGAGCTAGCTCGGGCGCACTGACCAAGTCCCTAGAGAGTACATACCTACATGTAGTTACTGTAGTTATTGATGTTGCACAGTCGAACACTTGAACAACTTCTTATTGGCTGCATCCTTGCGAGTCTTTACCTGTTTGAACTGGTTGCAATCATGGAGGACTCGAGGTGTGTGTGACAAATAACCGACTTTTCTGGGAGTCAGTTTATTCTCCTCAAACAAGAGTTTTGAATGAGTCCACTTTGACGTTATTATTAATACGGGCCTCGGAATATGGACACTGGGAGATACATGTATGAGGTGGCCCAGGTCAATAATGGATGTGCATGTATCTTTACAACGGATACATGTGTTCCTCAATATGTACATGTATGTACCGATTCATTCTTGGGTGGTCCATGTATGTGTATATATACATGTATTTATTCGCAGTTATATCTTTATCCACCTGGCGATCAAAATGTTTATTCATACTGGAAGACATCCCATGGATATTCTGAAGGCGTTCAAATTACAGATTTTGCATAGCAACCGGTCACCACATCAAATTCTGCAAAACCGGACCCAGATCAGCACATAGGGCTTTCTTGAACAAAGCCGGGAAGCTCTAAAGCTTGCAATTGTAAACATGATATCTATATCTTTAATGACTATTAGTGAACTGCCAAATTTTATTTTTTTTTTGGAATTTTCAGGTATTGTTTTGGTCATTTGAAGTGTCGGGGTCGTAAGCAAACTGCCAGGTGAGTAAAGCTGTAGACACCCCCTGGGGGGTCTACAAATCACATTTGAACGCCTACAAACCTTCAAAAATATCCACGGGATGTCTTCCATTGTCATAACTGAAATATCTCCATAGAGTTAGCGTTCAGGAGGAATCTTGGGGTCACTTTCTTCAGAATAACCAAGTACCATTTTCAGTTGTGGGTATTATTTAATAATTGTTAAATTATAAAAGTCGCCGACAGCAGAGTTTAACTTTCGAAGAAAAGCGCAGATGTTGATTAATCCATGGGCAGCAGCTGTTGGAATCTACTGTAATGTGCTATAACGAAGGCTGATGTCTTGATCGTGGGTGAGAACATCTGGCTATAATTATGAGATTCGGCGGTCACGGGATAAAGGTTGGCACGTAGCATTTGTCGGTTTTTTTTTTTTTTTTTCGTTCCGTTTTGTTTGGTTCTGTTGTCTTCGAATGCTGCAGCGATATGGCACTAGTGCTGCAATACTGTAAGTCTGAAGCTACCGTGCGATGGTTTACCCGGAATCCTCCGTTTTATCTCCACTTAATACGGGTTTTACAACAGGTTCATGTGAAAGATTACATACATGTATGTTCAAAAATATCAGTCGGGGATAGATTACCTCATATTCCATACTCGTGAGAAAAGAGAAAAAAGTTATAAGAAAGGGATATCTAGCCATCAAATTAAGAGAGAGATATATGAAGATTATGGTCCCAGAGTTAACAATTTGCACTTCAATCATTAATGCAAGGTAAACTCAGTCTCCTCTGGAATCCACTCTCTCCAAAATCTCCAGCCTTGGTTCCCCTTCCCAATGGCTCCAACGCCTACTAGGTCCTCCACTCCCTCCATTCCATCTGCGGCTAAGAACATGTCCTGTGTAATCTCAACCTCTTTGTCTGTCCTGAGTACGGCAGGCCACAAGACACCAACACCATCGCCCCCTAGCGTAGTTTTATATTTTTCGAAACCTTCGTTACTTAGTTTTGTATCTAGATCATCTAGAACGCTCTGTCTAACATTTTGTTTCAGAAGGGTAATAGAACAACCTCCTCCTCCAGCACCAGTTAACTTAGTCCACCCGATGCCTGTGTAGTCAATTAACTCTCTTATTCGCTCCAGTTTTGGGTGCGAAACTCCCAACGATACGAGAAGACCATGGTTTATGCGGATCAGTTCACCAAGCCGAACAAGGTCCAGACTTCCGGGTTGAGCAGAGAACTCGGGATTAGAGATAATTCTATGTGCATCAAGAGTAATTCGGTCAATTGCATCAAGAAGTGAGTTTGTGATCTCGGGATGAGCAGAAAGAAGGCTGTGGACGTTGGCAACCTGTTCAGAAGTCCGCCGAGGCTGCTTTGTATTGACTAACAGAAGTGGAAGTTCAGGGAAGCTAGGCACCATAGTTAGCATACGTTAGAAACCCCCAGATACATGGAATATTACTGACTTGCTCATATGGGTTACCTGTGGAGGCAGACTATAATCCGTTCGTTTGAAGAGCACCGCCTTCCCTCCAGTGGCTACTGTGTTGTCAACCCCACTGGGGTTTCCATGAATACACATTTCCCCTACAAACGCCCAATTGTTGATTCTCTTAAGTTGCAATTGTGTTTCATTTGACATCATTCCGTTGAAGGGTGTTGTCAATGTTCCCATCTGAAGCTGCAGGGCTGTACTCAGGCAAACAGATATACTCGCACTACTTCCAAGCCCTGCCCCGATGGGAATTGTAGACTTTAAGGTATATATTGATGCCGGGGCATGCTTAGAACCAAGCATTAGATATAAATATAAAAAGGCCGTGGCAGATGCTTGAAGCACCTTCCCAGGAATATCGGCGACCAATGGTTTTATCTCGTTCATTAGCTGGTTATCCAGTCGTTCAACAGTATCGAAGTAGTATTTCTTTTTTCCGGGCGCAGAAAACGTATCCCATGGCAACAACTCAATGTCCCAAGAATGATCAAGACCAATGTCCGGGAACCGAAGAGTCAATTTATGAGCAGTCTTCGGTAGGGGTGTGACCAGTAGATAACATCGAAGAGAGAGGGCAGCAGCAATTGCTGCCTAGAATATCATTGTCAGACCGAGCTCATGCTTAGTTGATGAGTGATGTAAAGAGATAGATAAATTAGAACGAACCTTGCCGTGAACTACAGCATGTTCACCATATACAATGACCTTTCCAGGCGCCGAAACCATGAAAGATGGAAGTTGAGAGACGGTCGACGAGCGGTGAATCCTTGATCTCGGATTCATGGGAGCGCCTTCGCATAAGGGGTCGGTGCTGTCATTCTCAGGGGCATTCTAACATGGACTATTAACTCCAATCCCACCAAATGCGTTGAGTTTCAGTCTCCTGAAATAGCACTCACATCTCCCCCCACACCAAGCTGATCAGAACCCACCACCATTACACCACCGTTTAGTTTTGATGAACCCATCGTTGCTGGAAACTTTTAAATTAAAACGGTGAGCTTTGGAGTCTGAAAGGGTTGAATAGAGAATATGGATGAGAATTTCTGGAGTTCAAAGACGTCGGAAATAAAGTAAGTATCAGTATAGGAGGGGACTCGGGTGAGCAGACCTCAGAAGGGAAACCCGACATTGAGTGTGGGTTGATCTTAAATGGAATGGTAAGAACGCCCGCGGTGCCGAGCTAGCTAAAAGAGCCGCAATAGGGCCAAAAGGGTAGCCGAGAGTACCCTGCATCAACTTTAACAAAACGGGTCAAGATTTATAGACCCCAAACGTCAGCGTCAATAAACAGTTTGGTGAACACAATATTCCTGTTGTCAGCTGCACGAACGACAACTACATGTACCTAAAAGTACAATGTACTTCCCCTATCATTATATTCTCTCACGATAGAATATTTGAGAGTTGGGACCCCATAGCTTATCAGCCATGCAGCTGACGTTAACTTTACAACTTACATGTACTTAATTATAAGCTTACCCCTCCCGTGGTAGGGAGTACATGTAGCTTCTTTATATACATGTAGTACATGTATACATAAGTGTTTATGTAGATTGAAGCACACCCCTACGTTAACTGTTTACTTATGTAAACACTTCTATTGCAATTAGACAGATCTAGTATACGTACAGAATATCTTCGAATAGGTATATTCCCGTAATTATTCTGGACGTATCTAGATCGATCGAACTCAGCTGGTATTCAAATATCAAATGACAATCGAGCTTACCAGACTTAAACCTCTGCATGCTCACTCCCGACCCCAGGGTTTAGGAAAAATAGCAGCACGCGCACCCCGTCCCCCGGCCGCCCTTTCTTCCCAGATTAATGCCCAAAGCATCCGAAACATACATGTACTAGCTATATGACTTTCAGAATTTCTATAGGGTTGCAAGGGTTTACGTCCCATATACCTGCCATGAGAACATAAAGTTTTGCAATCTGAGCTATGCCTTAAGCTGTCGATGCTGACCCCCCCGGCTATAACAGAGGAATTAGATTTTGTATGAGAGATCTATTATTTGATGAGAGATAACGGGATCTGTTAGTAAAGCCACACCAAATTTGCTTTTCTTTTGGTGGGTCAGCATTTTCGCGACAGCTTAAGGGATATATACTACAATGTCATGCAGTACATATATAAGGTAATTGTAACTAATCTTTACATATATAATACGGAAAAAGGGGTTCCAGAGCTAGAGTATACTGGGTTAGTGGTAATACCGAACTTTGTTCACTACAGCAGCACTCCAGCAGAACTGTGGGGTACAGGGAAATGCTTAAAACTTTAATTCATTACCTAACCCTAATTCCGCGCGCATTCTAAGTTTGAAGCTCTCAAATAATATGAACATCACCAGCGCAGATATCAATCTATCAATAGATACCTGGGTGTTCACCCTCTGATGATGGGCTTTCCAGAACTAGGAAATACTTTTAAAAACAGATTTTCCCGATCTAGGCATAACTGACTATATGTACTTTCTGTAAATGAGGAAAGGTGATCCACTCAATTAACGATTATAATGATGATAATGATGATGACCATATGCATGATGATATATGGTGAGCAATTGTGATGTTAATACATGTGAGTACCTGTTCGCAAGCTTAAGACCCAATCTAATGAAAACAAGCAGCACTAGTCCTAATCTTCTGTACCGGAAGACACTAATTGGTATTCTTTGCAATATTTATTTCAAAATATGCTGTCATAAATCGACATTAGAAACAATACGGTATAAATAGTGCTACTATAGTGATCCCACCCCCTTTTTTAGTACTGTATATTAACAGCACTACTAAGAACCGCGGTGACCTCGCTGCTACGAAAGTACGTATACGATGTACATATATATATCCTGACATTTTTGTGAAGTATTTGACTTAGTTTCCTATGGTACTAGTACATGTAGTGCCGTTGTTATGGTACTCAAAATGCACAAATTGCGAATAAATACGATAATAGTTCTACCGGCGCGCGCACTATCTATTAAAATGCGCAATCTTAACTACATATATAGTAAAGGTGAAATCAGAAACAAATAAATACCATATATGGCGCAGTACTCCAGTACGTACCGGCCGCGGTATCTTACAATAATTGATACCTTGACAATTCAATTTATCGACAGCTCTGGATCCGTCAATTCATTTCACCCATGAATACTAGATACATGTAGCTTTCAAGCCCGGCCTACGAAATTAACACTTTTCAGGTTTATCTCCACGATGTAACATTAATAACAAATTATAGTATACAAAGCCGGCCGGGGTGCTTACCGGTGCCAATACTACATGATTTGATGATGCTTAAGCTTGTGATGACTAGTGTGATCATGATGGCTTGGTACTTTTTATATACATGTAGTTTTGAGCTACATGTAGTCTTCTATAGACCTACATGTACCTCTCCCTGGCCATGGTCAGTGCAGCGCCTCCCTATTCCCTCTAGGCCAGGCCGGTCACGAAACCACATGTAAGTTGAAGCAGTCTTGCTGTACGTACTGAAGCTCATGTACTTGTAGTTGTAATCACAATATTGAGTTATTAAATTACATTTTAAAAACTTATATAATTATGACTACACGTACGCGTATAGATAATTACATACTTGTAGCCGTACCGGATGATAAATTACATTATATATAATTGTATATAAAGGATCAGTCAAATATATACTCGTAGTTTTTTGGCGTTTCCGGACGCAACTGCTATTGCATACGTATATACACAGAAAAACTCGCCAAGGCTATCTTTTGTATGGCATGCAATAGCAGTTGCGTCCGGAAACGCCAAAAAACTACGAGTAGCTGGGTGCCTATGCCTGCAGCTGTTCTACAAGTGATTTTCTTTGCGCCCAGCACTCCGAATCCTGAATATTCAATTAATGTAACAGTCGATCTGTATCTAATGCCGATTGGACTCTTCTTTGCAACTTGGTCAACTGAGAAAAAGCAGCACTAGAGCTAGTGCAGTGCTTAGGCGTTCAGTAGAAGATTGTGAAAACAGGCGCTCCAACGTATACGTACGGGGCGGTTTTTCACGGCCTTTTACTGAACGCCTAAGTACTGGCCATATGGCCATGGTCCTGCCAAAAAATTGCTACTAACACTTACGTTATAATTAATTATAATCATAAGACTCATGGTACTCTCTACTCTACTAGTACCAGACATGTAAATGCATCAGTTTACACATTGCCCATACAAAACCGACACAAATGATGCATTAGCTCGGGACGTTATTTGTAAATGCATCACCTGATCATGCATTACTTGATGCATTTACTCGGGATTTACCCGGGGGGTGATTGGGAAATGCATCAACTGTTGCATTATTTCTTGGAAAACGACCTATAGGTCCTTACTTTACACCTTTGTATCACATGTGTACGACTTTGATATTCATTTTAGACGATCAACCAACGACATTGTAATGTACTTTCCCCCATTGAGTAGTAGAGAGGTTGACTCTACTCGGGTACAGGAATAAGAACCAGAAAATGCTGCCATACAAATAACCCTATTGCATTTTCTGGTTCTTTCTCCTGTACCCGAGTACAATACCAAAAAATAGTATGGATTCGCTACGTTATTCCCGTTAATGTGCTAGTAATGCAGCAAGAATAGGGCATTACTACGGTATTCTTTGTGTAATGCCGGTTGCATTCCGTATTACTCACTAAATCCCGTAGTCATACAGTACTGATTTCACCCCGTTTTTTCGTACTGTAGTTCAAATCCCCCAACGTTCACTTTTTGTTTTTATTACCGCCATTGGCAACAGGTAAATGTGTACATGTACCGGGTGTTGAGGGTAAGTGATCAGAATCTGATAAGTGAATGCTGCGGTGAATACATGTATTTGTCTTATCAGATTCTGATCACTTTTCGCTACACCCTAGTACTTTTAATCATGCATCAATTGATGGATTAATTGATGTATTAAAAGATTCATTGTTTGATCCATTGTTGATGCATTTCCTCTATACAAATGATTTGCCTCGTACAGGTACGCATATAACACATTTAAAATACCAATTCCGTACGAATTTACCCATACAAAAAAATGTTGCATTAAAAGATGCATTTACATGTCTGGTAGAGACTCTACACATATATGGTATATTACAATATATATATATAGCTACTATACTGATACATGTGTAGATATTGCGCACGTGTCATTTATCAAAACAGCTGCAGCGCTACGCTGTTGATCATGTACAGTACCTAATCACTAGGGGTGTGCCACCTCGCGGCCGCGAGTTGTTGCATTGAGTATCTATGAGTATTAAATATTGATATTGATGGAGGAGACTCCTTCCACCTTCCCCCGCCTTTCCCGCCCTCTACTTCCCACCATCTCCACCGCCCTTCCGCTGCCCTCTACCCCCCCCCCCCCCCCTCCACCGCTCCTCCAGCTCCCCCTCCACCACTGCCCTCTACCCCCCCTCCTTTCCCCAACCGCTCTCACCCTCCTCCACTGCTTCGTGTTAGATTATTTAATTAGATATATTATTTAATTATATAGGCCTTTTTAAATTTTATTATGTGCGCCGCAGATACAGAGTTCCATCAGTATCATTGATTTTTGGTGGGATGCGCTGGTTGCTACGCAGAGGTCAGAGTCAGGGTCAGGGTTCAACCGAGCGCGAAAAGACTGTATCGTAGTACATATTAGATGATCATGTAGTCATTCCGGCCTGCCAAAACCATGGCCGACTATATGTAGTAAAGTCCTCCATTTTCGCTCATATACATATTACGGCTTTGCTAGGTTTACACTACTCAAATTTAAATATTAGCTTTCTCCACGGATTTATTGTGGAAACGACCACAGAGTGTCCCTACATATGGATTTTCGAGCCTAGGCCTCCTCCTCAACATAGTAATGTTAATATGCTGACAATCACCCCGCGTGCCGGCCGCGGCCTCACGCAATTCAATATGGACTTATTAAAAGCTACTCCGGGGACCTATAGCGGCCTTACATGGATTCATAGTAAATACATGTACATGCATATAGCTATACTACATGCATAGTCCTACGTCTTAGTATGTACATGTACATGTAGTCAATATACAATACATGTAATTGTAATTGAGTTTTTCGATTGTTGCACCCGAAATCACTCGTCAAACATAGACAATCACTCGGTTAGTTAGTCGCCAGGCAACGCAAGCTAATCCGGATCTTGGTCAAATTAGCGTAACTAATTAATGTAGTTAGAGTACATACATCCTACAGCCCGGCCCTGCTATGTACACATTAGACATCCATATGTTGTGAGACATGCAACCGAACTACATGTAGCTATAACGAAAACCTTGATAACGCGCGCGAGAGGTAAATATTCCCTGCAATCGTGCTTAACTACTGAAGGTACTCTGATTAATAACATTTCTCCGGGACAATACCTAATACCTGGAATAGTATTAAAAGTTTTAACAGCAGAGTAGTTATATTCTTGAATAAAACTGCTGTTGACGTCAGCTCATGTAAGTACTCTGTATCCGAGGCGACTGTACATACATGTACGTACATGTATGTACATGCTCTCATAGCTAGGTATGCCTGTGACGAAGCGATCGCCATCGAATGCTAATTTTGGAAGGAAATCGGACAAAGTTATCCATGTGCCTACACCACCTTTTAACCCCACTACATAAATACCTACTTCTAAGCTAGCTGCGCGGTACAATCTCTCTTTTAAACAATCATATAAAATAATAATAACACTATCTAGCCCTCACGCATTATCGGGACTGAGGGGGTGAGATTACCAGCCACCTCGGAGGTGTCCCAACCTCCTTTAATATTTCTGATCGCCTGAGTTGACCGATGTAACTTGCAGCATTTAATCTACCACTTTTATCAAACACCATTCATGATCGATGTAAACAGCGAACCATCATGGTACCGACCTATCTGCTATGCCCGGTTTTCCACTCGTGGGTCTTTGTGTGTATGTAAAGACATAGGTATTTACCAATCTCATGAAGCGGGGCCAAAGCGACCAACATGATTTTGAGTGGGTTATGGGTGATCAAGATTACGACCATCAAACCGAATTTGCAATATCGGTGGCATTCTCATGAGGGAGCTGCACCGTTTACTGGGGGGTGCATTAAGCACGGATGTCCCCGATCCCTGCTATTTTCCATTACCTGAAACCCCAACCCTGCAATGACTTGCTTATCCGTCTTGCTGAGTCGAGTTTTCCTGTATTCTGATAGGCGGTGATGAACTTGTAGGTACTGGGGAAACTCCGCACACGAATTGTTTAGATTCATGGGAGACCTACAGGGGCTGGTTCACCCCTCATTTATCTAATCTAACTGCCTGGTCCTTGCTCTATCCGCCCACAAGCCACGCTTTTTGTCACTTGTACTACTAGGTGAGTGTTTACCTCCGTAGGCACTCTATACAGGTTTGAGAGCAGTTATGGTGTTCCCTACCTGAGTTGAGGTACGTATTGTTTGAATAGCATACCCGCCTACCCTATGTGGCTAATAGTTGTGGTATACGTGCTTGTGTCTGATATCTCCCTCATCTCTTGCTTTGAATCCTTTCAATCCTGTCAGCTCCTCTTTCCGTCATTATTTCGTCTTGCTCTCTTTCCCAACACCCTCCCATCTCTCTCTCCAGGCTTCCAGCCCTACCTGGTCTGTTATTGCCTCTACATTCAAACATTCTGGAATCACTCCTGCTTTATGCCTCAATAATTTACAAACGCTCTCCCGGCGAGCGCGTTTTACATACATTCCCACTATCTTCAGCTGAAAGCACGCTACCCACTACCAAGCGCCTGTTACCCCATATAGCAGCAGCTTCCCGCCAAAATGGGTGCCGCGCAGTCTATTCCATCCGAGATCGAAGGAGTCCATTTTTCTAACACCCACCCACCCCGGAATAAACTCACCAAACCTCGAACTAACTCGAACACTACGAGCCGTGAAGCCTCCTGTCTACCTCCCGCGCTCTCTCGACTAAGTCTCTCTGGCGGATCAAGGCCCTTGACTGTGCAATATCAAACCACCGAAGAATCACACGCAGGCATTATTGCAGTCGAATATTCGAAAACATTACCCCCTAATGATGTTCGGAAATCTGGGATGTGGTCATTTGTGGGGGATCATGACTTTGAGGCTTATTCCGAATCTGCTGTGGATTCAGCCCTTCCTGGGGTGGTCAGCGTCATGCCCGTAAGCACTGGAATGCGCAGAAAAGGAAGTATGGTCACACGCAGCTCAACCAACAGCAGTGCAGCATGTGCACCACCTCCCAACCGTAATTCTGAAATACCTTCGATGGGCACTGTCCGGCGTAGATCCCAACTTCTCGCAGCACCACCTGCGACAGCGACTAGGAAACCAGTACAACCATACTTACAGGACCAATGTCTTCCTGATACACCGTCTCCAGATTCTTACACATTTTTACCTCCATCAATGGGATATGATTCTGACCGATGTACGACACCTTCTGGATATAGCGTTCTTGGGGCTTTCAAAAGGGGATCTTTGAGAATTGCAAACGGTGCAGCATCTCCGGCACCATCGTCTTCAAGGGCTTCTCCGGAAATGTCTATGAAGACTGAATATTTTGGTTCGAATATTGCACTTCCCGGTGACTTGATTAGTAGGCCGCCATCGAGTGATAAACCGCTTTTTGTGGTTACAAACTCGATACTTCCAACCCGTGAGGTGCGCCTTGTTCCACCATCACCTACAGACGAGAGAGACGGTGATGAAGATGAAATACCGAGCAGTCCATTCAGTTTCACCCGGAGCCCCAGTGTTCATAGCGAAGATATCGACGATTCGCCATTCGAATTCGAACCCCCAGCCAATGATACGCCAGATAGCTTGCGACAGTCTCTTTTTAGGCCGACACAGAGCTATGAGAGTCTTTCTAGTACCGCGTCCAGTGCTATATCCACCGGATATGAGTACCACAGGATCCTTTCAGAGCAATGTTTGAGCCGGCGTTTTGATAAGCCAGTACGTGTTGATGTCAAAATGTCAAAGATGTTTGCATCAGCGCCTTTTGTTGGGAATGATGTGCATGATCATACCTTCTCTGAGGGAGATCAAAAAGAGAACGATAAACACACTCGACGTCCCAGTATCAATGAGGTTGGTGGTGAGAGTATGGACTCTGGCTATAGCTCCTCTGGATCCGTAAATAGTTGGAAAACAGCATGGAGCCATCAGCATGCCAAATCAAAATCTACCGCTCGTAAATCGGAAGTCTTGATGACAACAGAGGACAATCCAGTTTTTTCTGAAGAAGTTCTGATGAAGCCCGAACAGCCAGTATCGAGAAGGAGAAGTGTTGTTGCAGCCATCCGGAGGAGGTATTCTCAAGGTGACCTCAAGGCCTTTGCCCGAAATAATAACATCATAAAACAACCACCTGTACCAACAATTCCGGTTGTAGAGCGCAGTAAATCCCTGTGGAAACCACGACCGGAGCTAAAACATCGGAGAAGCATGATCACAGTTACCAAAAGTTCAGTTCAACAAATTGAAGTACCTAAAACATCGCCTGATATCCAGCCCGTACCCCCGCTACCTCAGCATGCCAAGGTGGAGCGGAAGGGGGCTTTCAATCTTCTTACTGTCGAAGATTACCTACCACTAGTAGAGCAGATTCCATTCACGCCGATTGATGACCGTAACCCAGGTGCAGCCGGCCTTGCTTTTACTAGTCCAGCTGGTAATATGCACGACTCGATTATGCACATCAGTATTGGGCCAGAGTTGTGTCGCGGCAGCAGGATTACAGGGCAGGAATACTATCAGCGCTTCTCAAGGCAGCAGTCTACAGGAGTAAGGGCAATGATCGGTTGAATAAATGGCAGCGATAAGATTATATCCTCGTGCTTGCGCTAAAGAACACCCATGTCTTACAACATATTTCCTTTGTTTCAAGTTATTTATTTCTGCTTGGGTATTTATGGGATGGAGTGATAGGTGATTTAAGGAGTTGTCTTCTTTTCTTTCTCTCTTTCTTTCTCTTTCTTTCTTTCATTGTGTTTCGCTTTTTTTTTCAGACATCATGGCTATATTTTTCTTGTGTACATTTCTGGGAGCTTACGTGCCGGTTTTATGGGTTATTCTTCTATTCTAGACTATAGTGCCACGATATCATGAGAAGGTACAGAACTCTCATGGCTTGTGGTAAATTTTATTAGAAAAATACAATGACGTAGGTTATTGGCCAACAAGGTTATTCTTGGCGCATATGTAAACAGACGAAAATATTTTCAGCCGCCCTCAACTCACCACCAACCCTCAAAGACTTCTTATTCAAATCACAAGAAAAGTCCCCCCGAATGGCGCAAACACTCGAGGCAATCAGATTCAAACGAGGGGACCTTCAGATCCTCGATCAGCTTAAACTTCCCCACGAGTCGACATATGTGGTTATCAGAGATTCCAAAGATGGCTTCCAAGCCATCAAAGACATGGTTGTTCGAGGTGCCCCAGCTATTGCCATAGTAGCTGCACTTTCTTTGGCAGTGGAATTGCAATGCAAGAAATCTCAAGATGAGATCACACCCACGAAGGCGCGTGAATTTGTGCATTCCAAGTTGGACTATCTCCTGAAATCCCGACCAACAGCGGTCAACCTTGCCGATGCCTCTAGGAAGTTAAAGGAGGTTGTCTCAAGCGAAGCGATTACTGGGGAAGAAGTTTTTGAAAGATATGTCCAAGCTGCAGAGCAGATGTTGATCGACGATGTCCAAGATAACAAGAATATTGGAGACTTCGGAGCCCGATGGATTTTGGAGAATGCTACCAGAGCAGATGAGAAAATAAAAGTTTTAACGCATTGCAATACTGGGTTCGTATATTCCGCGTTCGTCTGGGTAAATACTTGACTAACTCTGCATCACCATAGATCACTCGCTACTGCGGGCTACGGGACAGCGTTGGGAATAATCCGCTCCTTGTACGCAGGCTCGAATTTAGAGCACGCATACTGCACCGAGACTCGCCCGTATAATCAAGGCTCACGCTTAACCGCATACGAACTTGTTTACGAAAATATCCCCGCCACCTTGATCACAGACTCAATGGCGGCCTCATTAATGTGCCTCAAAGGCATAGCTGCTGTTATTGTTGGCGCGGACCGTGTGGCTCGAAACGGTGATACCGCAAACAAAATTGGGACGTATCAGCTTGCGATCGTTGCAAAGTACCATGGGGTCAAGTTTGTTGTTGCAGCACCCACCACAAGCATTGATATGGACACCGCATCTGGTAATAATATCGAGATTGAACATAGACCTGGAGCAGAATTACTGTGTGCTCGAGGACCGAGGGCGGATATGGAGGATCTACATTGCTTCTACACGGTCAGCACTGCGGCACATGGAATTGGTGTTTATAACCCAAGCTTCGATGTGACCCCAAATGACTTGATTGATGCAATCGTAACAGAGAAGGGCGTCGCAGTAAAGGGTTTGGATGGAAACTTTGATCTCTCTAAATTCTTCAATTGATAAAACGAATAGAATGGGGTCTGGGTTAGTATATCAAGGTAGATTGCATGTAGCCTATAAGGGGTCAGACCCTGACAAATGCCAGTAACATGGTGGTTTGTATTTTATGCCCTAAGCTTCTTTGGTACCAATGCCGAGCATTCCAAGAATTCACCGTGGCCTATTATTGACCGATATGCCCCTGCATCCAAAGGAATATCTACGATTATTGCATTTTATCATGGTCCTATGTGTTCCTACGGCCCTCCACATAACTACTCTCGCGAATCTTTCAAATTTTGGGTGATATCCTTGCTGTCTGTGGACAGGGAGGATTGGGTATCGTCTTTGTTGATCAACCCTTCCTGCACGGTAGGTTTGTCGTGCTCAGCCAGAAAATCGTCAAGTTTCTGTTCCAGGGAGTTTAATTGAGCCTCCAGAGTAGCTGCACTCTTTTCAGCTCTGATGAACTAGTTAGTTTATGTTGCAGCGTACCGGGTGCAATGTTAAGGATGAAATTTACTCGGCTAAGTCCTTATAAGCCTGTGAAACACAGATCAGCACCGTATCCAACATGTTTAAGACAAGGTATTTTCGGAAAACTTTACCTTTGCAAAATCTGCTTCATCATCTTTCGATGGCATCGCGCGTGAGTGTGATAGAGATTTTCTGATAGAATTGTTATCGGTACTGGACAGCTTGATGTTTGTATGTATGTAAGTAATCTGCAACAACGAGTCAGTTGTCGTTGGTTTAGGTAACCGGTAGTACAGGTCTCAGCCCTAATCTGAACTCATTTGTAAACAGAACCAATGTGCCTAAATATCGGCTAACGGGAATACCTAAATAATCCGCTGAGACAGGAGGTGAGGTGAAGCCGTAACTTGAAACCTCGTATGTACATGTAGGTACACACTGCCGCTTTCCGTCAACGCCAACCTCACAAGAATATTATTAAGCTCTTGCGGAGCAGATACAGTACCGTATATACATGGAGGTATGTAGAGTAGGGCAATTGAATATACAGCTGTATGTACAGTACCATTTAAAGTAGGCTACACCAAATGAATGAACCCTGCAACACCTCACAATTCGTTCGCCAATAGGGAGCTGGTGGGATAATCCCCAGCCTTCTGCGAGTCCAGGGCCCTCTTCCTCTTCATCCTCTCCATGTTCCCTTCTTTGTCCTCATTTAAAACTAAAGAAGAAAAAGGAAACAACCTACCCACAAATCGATACGATGATCGATGACTTGAGGCTGTTAGATACATGAACTTAAGGTGCCCATCGTATGATGCTGATGCATGAACCGTTTCCCCAAATGGTACAGAGAACGGCCCTTGCAGTAACAAAAGTTACCTAACCTCACCTACATACACATACATGCCGCTTCCAGAACCGAATACTCCGCATAGAAAAAAATGGTACCCGGTACCCGAAAAGCGCTGGACTGCCAGTAAAACGTCAAGGCATGTATCGAGTGGTATTTAGGATGTTGCATCTCGCAGCACATCGCTGACAAAAATCCTTCAGAGAACCAATAAACCTCATCACCTTTGTAGAGGAAGAGCCTCCCTTGAATCAGTTATATAACCTTTTTTTTTCTTTCCTGATCTTCCATTTCGCGAGGTCATTCAGGCACCCTTACTTGCGGCCGGAGCCGCCTTCTTTCAAGCCTCCTTGAACGTTTGGCGCGTTTCAGACCGCGAAAAGTTACCGATCTCGCTTGAGTGCGCGATCGCAGTTCCCTTGGCTCCCAAAAGTCCCCCTGCTAGTTCTGACAAGATGATTGGTGGGCCGACGTCGTTGTCCCCGCTGTCCAGTATTTTTCAGTATGGGCCATGTCTGCTCACAGTTCACCGGCTCCACAATTAAGACACCCCTGTCGTTCGTCGTCTCAAGACTGCGACTAAGTGCCCGTCGTTCCAATTCTGTGGACCTGGCATCAATGTGCGTCATAGGTCGGGTGCTCTTATGTGAAGACGGGTAAGCAATGTCCAGCCTCCTTTTTTGTTTTTCCCCTCCCCAGCTCCTGGGACCTGTCTGTTTAGCACTCGCACTCGTTCACTTACCCATGCACTCTCACACATCAATATCTCCCCCCGTTGACGTAAATGGCAATACAGAATTGATGGGAAAGATGGGGGAGCTTATTTCCCTTTTTTTTATGCCTTTGTGTTTTCTCTCTCTCTCAATGCTCGATTGACACATCTGCATATTTTAATCGAGAATCGAATAGTTGAACGGGTCCGGGCGCCCGGCAGCCCTTTTTGTAGGGTGTCTGCCCGTGATGAGTCGTGGTTTTTGCCTGGTACAAAACAAGCGCTCTTCTTTCGGGAGGTCCCTTGAAATAACAACTAAGCCATGCACAGCTCCGCAGACGTCATTGTGCATGTGTCCGACAAAAACAGGGCAACATCGCAGTTGTCAACGGCCCCCTTTGAGAGGTCCACCGCGTCTCCGATGACCACCGTCGTGCCCAGGATACCAGTGCCACTGTATCTTATTCTGCTTCCCCCCCCCCCTCCCTGGTCCCCCTCTTCTCCTCTCTTTCTCTCTCCTCTCCTCTCCTAAGCCGTGAGCCGGAGAGAGTAGAGTAGCAGTAGCAGCAGCAGAAGCAGCCAACTGGTGTGTATCAAGTACATGTGTATGTACGAGATATGCTACTTAGCACCGGCAAGCACTGCTAAGTACGGTACTGTATGTATATACATACCAGACTGTTGCCAATTGCAATAGCTAATTAGCAGTAACAAAGGGGGGGGGGGGGGGGGGGGCGAAGGGCTGTTATTTATGTGTCTCGGTGGACCCCGCGCAAGACACTTTATTCTGGCTGGCTGTCGCTCGAAGGTAGGAAATTTCAAGGAAGCTGTTACAAGTCATAGAACAGCACTCTACAGGTCTTTCTACCACCTACATACGTGACAGAGCATCGACACCAAGCAAAGCCTTTTCTTTCCTTTTCCTGTCCTCCCATCCCCGCCTACAACAACGTCATTACACATCCCCACCTTATAACTACAGTAGAGTAAAAGTACCCTTACCATATCCTTGAGAGTCGGTACTCTACACTGGCTACCGGCTGCAACGATCGTTCCCCTTGAGTCCTCACAACCTTCCATCGCAGCTGCAGCTACTGTTTTGCATCTGCTTACTGCAAATATCAATTCAAATCTTCCTATATCAGCCCATTTCTTTCTATTAAGAGTTACGGTGTATTTTGCACTTTTTCCTTTTTTTTTTGCCAATACGTTCTACGCCTGCTCCCTCCACTAGCAGCTCCAGTACCACACTTCATTGAACCCCCCCCCCCCCCACAATCCCCTCACCTCACCTCCCCCTTCCTCCTCTTTTTGAATTTCGCGTACTCGCGCCTCTCGCGTGTGGTATTCTTGTCAGTCTCCCTCCCGTAAACCCTTAGTTACAGCAGGCTGATCGACAGGATATTGTTCCATTTCAGTCCTTCAAACTAAACGGCATCATTCCTTCCGAGACTGCGATTTTCAGAAAAAACTCAAAAGACTTGATTCTCTTGGGCCTTGGCATAACCTTTGTTGCGGGTGATCACCCTCAGAAATTTCGATCCACGGAACCTCGTGAACAATGTGCTGAACTGTGTGCGATGAGAACGGGTCTGGTTCTGATATCGTGTCACGCAAACACCTTGCTCCGGCAGTCTCTTACCCCAAAACTTCCATATTCGTAAACCGGCCATCCATTTTGATATATTTTATATCCCAATTTACGGGGACTTAGAGAATTGTATCCATCTATTTATTTATTAGGAACCTCTTTGCTGTTTTTTTCCCCTTTCATCCTATCCGGTTAAGCATCGCCGAGTTTCGTAACAAACCACTGGTTGCTCCCGGTGACATACTTATTCTGGCATCATTTCTCTGGTGCAAATTGTTCCTTAAAGGTTGACTGCCGTGTATCTATTAACCGGGTGGGCGTCACAAAAGCTGGGCTGAGTGGTTCTGGTAGATCTGACTATACTCTTCCGTCTAAGCCGAATCAACGCCTTGGGTTTCTACGAAATTTTCGTCAGATCAGAACGCCTTCGATCTTGCATTTCTACGTATCTGATAGATTTACGCTTTAGCCACCTTGGGGCTAAACCCGCCTCCCTTTCCATTACTCTTATTGGAGAGGGAGAGCTGCGAATACGCTTCAATTCGACAAAATATTAGTCTGAGACTTTTTGTTATGATCTGGACTTGCTCAAACACATCGACTGCGTTCCTGCAACACCGACAGCTCGAACGTTGGCGACCAAAATACATCTTTATCGGCCTACGTTCCTGAAACGAAGTTAACAAGTTCGTGGAACAACGGAAAGTGACAGCAAAAAACGTTGGTGGATTAGGCATTTACGACGCCATCTGGGGAAACCTCTTGTTCGAGGGCGGCTTTCACCCCGGTGATAGTGTTTCCGTGTATATGACGGATCTGGGAGAGTTGTTGGACCGACTGGGACTCTCGCAGTACCTAGAGCGGCTTGTCGATGAGGGGTTCGAAAAATGGGAGGCCGTTATGGACATCACGGAGCAGGATCTGTAAGACATATTCTTCGAGGTTGATACACCAGGTTACTGATAATTAAGGTCCAGCGGCTTCCTCAATTTTAAGTTAGGCCATCGAAGGGTAAGATAAAACTTCCAATAATTCATATTCTTGGTATCTTTTTCGATTCGAACACCACGTTTGAATTTATGATCGTTGATTTTGCCAATATCTGTTGCTTTCCCACATCGATCTATATAAACAGGGGTACTTGCTGATATCAATCGTTGTTAGATTCTGCAACGAGAGATTGCAAGTGCGAGGGGCATTCCACCACACCAAGCGTTAACGTCAATACCGCCAATTTACCCTGCAGAAGATGTTGAGGACGAGAGATTATCCCCTAAAGAGCATCCCTCTTCCAAATCGGATCCCGGAAAGGGAGGAATACCTCCTACAGGAAAGAGAAAATATCGTCGGCATCCAAAGGTAAGAAAGAGTGAAGTAATTTCTCGAATGCATGTAGCTGCTGACGTCGCGCTGTCTCCTGAAGCCTGATGAACGGGCACCAGAAAAACCTCCATCCGCATATGTTATGTTCGCCAATCGTACGTACTTCTCTCTACTATATGGTTCAAGTTGCTAAAGCTCATTTTCAAGGTGTACGAGATGAACTCAAAGGACAGAATCTCTCTTTTACTGATATTGCAAAGCTTGTCGGCGAGAAGTGGAAGGTTCTCGATCCAGACCACAAAGAAACGTATGAGCTTGAAGCTTCTATAGCCAAAGAGAAGTATAATTCGGAGATGCAGGAGTATAAGAAGACTGAGAGTTACCGGGAGTACATCCAATATCTTTCAGACTTCAGGTCAAAGATGGGAAAGGAAGGGAGGGAAGGGAGTGGTGAGCCTCGAAAATCTCCGACTAAGGTTCTTTCCTACTTACCTTTGTAGTAGAACAAGCGGAAGCAAACCGAAAACGACCTAAGATCGAAGGCCAAACCAGTTCTGCAGGCGGAGTATTTGCAAGCACTGTTAGTAGCAGCGGAAGTTTAAATAGTGGAATCAGCGCTACGGCGCCTTTTCTTAGTGGTATCGGGAGAACCGGGGGTGCTGGCTCTGGAACTGCGACATCCTCAGAACAAAGTGCTTACGCCTCTCCCTCTGGTCATGAGTCTTCAAACGCCTTCCATCATATGAATGTTCAATCTGTTTCTCCTTCTGCAGCCAAGCCTGTTGCCATTTCTCCACCGCGCCGGTCGAGGTCACCTTCAGATGTTGCCCGTTACAGAGATGCTGTTCTAAGAACGACCCAACAGCAGCAACAGGAAGCTCTTGTTGCTCCAACTTCCGACGCAGAACCATCATTCTTCCCCCGTATTCACCCAACCATACAAAGCCCTCATATACAGCAGCAATCCTCGTTCTTGCGACATCAACCTCCTCCGATAGGGGCCCAGCCCTTATCAAGGCCAGGACCACCAATACCAAATCCAGCTATGCGTAGGTCAAGTGTACGATCTGACGATGTGCTTCCACCAACACCAGCCTCAATCAGCAGTAGTGGGAGCTCAACGGCTCCCTCACTAACACCTTCAATGTCCAATTTTGACGATGGGGGTCGTTCCCATCGCTCACTCCCGTCTCTTCCTCCACCCACTCCTGGGCCAACAACCGGGCCCGGTTACTTTGATCAACGACCTCATCATCCACAACCTCCCCCTCCGCCATCACCTCGACAATTTTCCCATCATCAGTCATTTCCGCCACCAACTCCTATGGGCCATCCCTCACATTCAAGCTATCATGGGTATCAATCAACATCCCAATTACCAACTATAAACCAAGCCACACATGATACGTCCAATATGTCAACCTCGACCTCAAGGGAGACACACTCATCCTCGCTAAACCAAAAATCATCGTCTGGAAGGTGATCATTAATGCTTTTCTGGTCTTTAACGGTTTATATCTATACCCTACTGGTACCATTTCTTTTGATTTGATATGGCTCAATATAAAGTTACTTGGCGAATTATTTTAGAAGCGAGATTGAATTTGGCAGCAGTAAATGCTGATTCTTCAAAATGCAACCATGAGTTTTGTATATTGCTCTCTCTGTCGTTTGTTCTTTTCCTTTCTCCATATATTGTGCGTATTTTCTTTCATGTTGGTTATTGGCATCTATATTTGTGAATTTTCCCCTTTTGATGAATTTTCTTGTAAAGACGTTTTTTATTAGGGACCTATCCCACACGTATCCTTGATCTCGCATGTACTGAGGTTTTGTTCTGTCTTTGTATCATTTACGAACTGTTTATTTATTTGCCCTTTTCGGGTACTCGAGGCATCCACCTTGCCAAGAAATCTGTTTGTGGTTTGAGCTGTCCAACGTGGAAGATAAGGGCAGATGGGATTGGATAGAGAAGCAGTACGTGGTGCCAACCGACTCTCCTACTTCACCCGATGGCTGACCTGAAGATGATGAGGAGAGAATACAATCACCTGCACAGCTTAATACGAAGAACTTGTAAATCTTTGCAGGGTATTGGACTTTTTCTGATGCTTTTGATTGGTTGCTTCGAAGTGAGTCTATCTTTCTTTGCGGTGGATCAGATAAGCACATGTATGCTGCGCGACATTTCGGAGGGTCCTAGTGAGAACGGAAAGGGTCTATTGTCTTTGGTGCCGACTAATTTTGAACAGCATGGATATGTTCTTCTTCGCTTTTCATTCATTTGAATGTCACATAACACAGCGTTAATCCTGAAAGATTACTTATCTGGTTGCAGACGTACTCAATTTGCAGCGTACTTATCAAATTTCTGGCTCTGTTGTCATTACCGTGGATAGTGTCCGCATGGCAAGAGCCGCAAGACGTTGACTTAGGGTTTAGCCGGCACTCAACAGGCGCCACACGCGTCATGGTTTCCTAACTGTGGTGGCACAGAAAACCTTCCAGGTGTCAGTTAAGTTTCTGTCCAATAAAAATTGGTCATGAAATGATAGGCTCTTTGCTGCTGCAGCTTAACTACCAGCAATCGTTGCTTGAATATTATATTTAAAGAAGTGACTCTTGAAGAAGTACAAGTAGAGTAGAATCTGATGATATTGTTGTGAGCTGTTTGACTTGTTTTTAAATCCCGAGAAAGCACTTTTTAAGGGTCCAGATTGCATAATCGAAGATAGGGCTCAGGTCCGACAAGCGCCACACACCGCACGTGAGACCCCGGGCAAATAAGTCTGGACCAGGGCTCTTTGGCCACCAGGGTGATGGTGTGGATGCTGTGCAAGGGACGTTGGTTTAGAGTTTAACCGAGGCCCTTGGCATGTATGACGCATCATCACAATATTTACTGTATCTCTGTTCTAACAACTTTCAGTACTGTATCAGCAAAGCGTTTCCAGGATGGATATTTTTCTCCTCTCTCGAGAACTTGGTGATGAGCGGGCAGCTACTAACCTAAGGCTTGGATATACCACAAAACTCATGCATTCCATCCAAAGCACTTCCAATATTACATTCAGTGAAAAACATCCAATGGGAGTCAACGCGTTGGATATCGAAAGACAGAGCTCCAAATTGTATGTTTTAAAGGTTGTACATGGGTCAGGATAGGGCAGTCATTGATATAGATATTGTAGTTTGCTTTCAGCTGGTGCTGACGCGTCCATCTCTTTGTGGGATCTTGACTCTACCCCTGACAGAGAGCTTGGGTTTGAACCTACTGAATTTGTACCCAGGTAAGCCGCCGCAGATATCAAAACCTTCCTCACTCGGGATCAATTCAATGTTTCCTTCTTTCTTTTATAAACACTAAATTTCGTTGTTTGTTTCCTAGCCCAAAGTCGCATAAATATGCCATATCCTCGATATCTTTCTACCCCGCAGATCACGGTTTGTTCATCACCTCATCCTTTGACAAGACTGTCAAAGCATGGGATACAAATGCCATGGAATATGTCACCGAGTTCAATTTGGAAGAAATCGTCTATTCAGCAGTCATGGCCTCCAAATCCTTTCATACAATGGTTGCAGTCTCCTCTCAGTTCCCTGCTGTAAGGCTTCTTGACCTAAATACCGGCGGAAATATACATTCATTAGTGGGGCATATCGGTGCTGGAACTCTTGGAATAAATTGGTCGCCGAGGGATGAATATATCCTGGCTTCCGGTGGGGTGGATGGAACAGTCAGACTATGGGACATCAGGCGGGCTGCAAGCTGTCTGGCGTGTCTTGATAGGACTAATTCGAATTCTCATAAGTTTGACGTCAAGAACCTGGCGCATGACGGCCCTGTGAATGGTGTTAGTTGGAGTGAGGACGGGGCGCAGCTGGTAACATTAGGGCACGATGACACGATGCGAGTTTGGAGCATGTCAACTGGGGAAAACATAATGGTAAGAATTCCTTATTCCAAGTCATCACAATCAAGCAACTAATGACATTTTACTACAGACCAAATTCGAAGCTCCAATACGTAACCGTTGTAACCAGACAGTAAATCCTATTCTCACCCCATTGCAAATTTCTGATCCTCAACTTGTCTTCACACCCTCCAATTCCTCAATACTGGGGTTCAACTTGAATAAAGGCACATTAGTCAAGCGCTTAAAGGTGCCGCGAGCTAGTACTATCAACGCTCTTGTGCAGAGGCCTGGTCATCCGGATATATATTCCGCCACCACAGAGGGCAAAATCATTGCATGGGTACCTGAAACTCCATCAAACCAAGAAAATGCAGCTGTTGCAAACGAAAAGCAGAACCCCCTTGATTCAATCTATCATTCCCTGACAAGAACGCCAATGACCTTTACCTAAAATCTGTACTCCAAACAAACTGCCAATACACCTACCTGGATAGTACTCGCGTCAAAGTACCCCACATCAATTTCTTTGAGTTTGAGGATCATGCCATCATGGCCAAAGACACATGCAAGAATCCATCTGGATACACGGCCTCCCTCATTAGGTCAATTAGTGGTGTGCCCATCGCTATTACCACACCATGAATCACAGGCTTCGCTAATACACATACTCGCTGGCTTGGGAAGAGCTCTGGAACGAATAGGTGCAGGGCCGTGCCGACGGTATGATGGTCACCTATAACACTGTCAACCAAAGACCGTGGAAGAATATGGGGCTGAGGGGTGCTTATGGGAAACGTAATTTTACAAGTTTTAAGTGATAATAGGAAGGGTACGGATCATGAAATGAATAAAGCATAAATCTTATTTGGGGAGATACGTACGAGATGCTTGAAGAGGTGGGACTGGGCGTTGGATTACCCGAGACCCAGTACCAGGGATATAAACTCTCAATGGTATATTGCGGGTGGGCGTAGAGATGGGAGAGATGAGCTTATCGTAGACGCTCCAATATTTATCAAAGTCGTCTTGCAAACTGTTAGAAATTAGTAGAAAAATAGTGAAGGGGGCGTACATGACTGCAAAGAGTCCCAAAGGCCTGTAGACTCGGCCTTTGTCAGGTTCATGACCGCTTTTGCGCTTCCGTGGCGGACGTAGTCTGCCTACATGTAATTATCGTAAGATTACTTCAACCAAGCCCAGTGTGGTAGATCTGACCTCTTTTACCAAGTTCATCCAAGCATCATGACAGGCTGCAGGATTATCCAAGCGCATAAGGTGTTTATGGGGGTAGTCTCGGAAATGAAGAATCAAGGTCCATGGTAACTGATGCTCTTCATCCTCAACGTCCCTGCTTGAGGGATCGCGCGCAGTAAAGAGATCATAAAGAAGACCAACGGGCCAGTGCCTACATTTCATAAAATCAAGTTAGAGATATGGCTAGCTCAACCATACTAGAATGATACGGGCTCGGATAATAAGAGTGGGAAAAACCATTTGAGAGGAACGCTTTCGAACTCAAACCAAGCAGTCTCCTCTTTCGAGACTTCTTGATCAATCAAAAAATGTTTGAAGAACTTGTAAATTTGCGGAATAAAGAGTGGTAGATAAGATATTCGCGGAATGGTGAGCTAATAGGGATCCATAATGTCAGCACAAGAAACCAGGTCAAGCGATTGTGGAGAGTGGGGAGGAGGAGGAATACGTGCGTAGTATGGATCTGAATCATCAAAAACACGACATTCTCCAGGGTCAAGTAGTATTTTACAAGGGATAGAACCAGACCAGATAGCTTTACGGATTGATTTTGAGTCCGAGGATTCCATATTGCTGGGATGTGGGTGATGGAGCTGCAATGTTTCGAGTAGGCCTAGTATCGATTTGTACGCCGATAAGAGATGCCTCAGGTATGCTGTCACTCGTGAGGGCGGAGGTGTAGTAAATACTTTGTTTTATTGATAGCCCAAACCAGGTAGACAGATATAACCTGGCATACTCCAAGTTGCAACTAATAGCAGTGGTCCCGTAAGCTGTATGGAGCTGTGTGATATGCGATACAAGGTTGGTAATACATGTATGTAGGCACATGGTAGGCGTGCCCCATGCGCGACAGATGTTGCGGCTCCGTAGATCATGCATCCCGATTCAACCAACCCCACCGCCGACCGCCGTTCCCAGCAGATTTTTATGTGCAGGTCACGTTTCTAGCAACGTCTCAACCTCAGCATCAACTAAGAAAGAATCGCCTGTCCAAGATAACTTGGAATTCATTCTTGCGTATCTTCATCATGTTTGCGCCTTCATTATTCCGGCGGTCGGCTTTGCGCACCTTTCAACCTCTTGCCGTATGTTTTCCGGGGGATTTTCTTTCGTTTTCTGTTACTTATTGCGCCCCATCCACTAATTCCTTTGATCTAATATCCATGATTGATTATAGAGGAGCCCGTACGTCAATATTTCAAGGCGATCATACCATGAGTGCCCTTCCTTGCATCATGAACCCCAGTTCACACAAGAGGGTGTTCCGGGCCTTTTCTCGCCTAAGGCCTTCAACACTGCATGGACGGAATACCAACAAGGTCTGGTAGAAAAGCTCAATTCTCTCACAGCAGGTATGGAGAAGATTGCTCTCCCCGGTGCTATTATTCCACCGAATTACGATGGCTATGAAGAATATACGTTAATTTGAGAAATGTGGCGCTGCAGGTCATGAACTTGCAGATAAGTCGGCGTTTGAGATATCAATTCTCACCTCCCGACAGGCAGACCTTGCCGCAACCTTCAATTACGCCTCCCAGGCTCATAATAATCACTTCTTCTTTGACGCTTTGGTAAATAACTCCTCCTCAAATCTTCGCCGAAGATACCACTCATGTTAACCGTTCGGATTGTTCAAGTCTCCTACGCAAACGAAAATGCCCGACCGGATTCTTGGATATATCCCAGACACCTTCGCCTCCCCCGAAGCGATGAAGGCAGAGATGCTCGCTACGGCTGAGGCCATGTTCGGTTCCGGCTGGGTCTGGTTGGTTCTTGACATGGGAAAGCGCCTCCGTATCCTGTGCACATACAATGCGGGCTCGCCTTACGGTCAGGCTCATAGACGCCAGGAAACGGACATGAACACTACCGGCAAACTCCAGCGAAGTGCTGAATACAGTGTCGCTACTGCAAAAGCTAACAAGCCTTACGGAGCACAAGAATTTATCCCTCTCTTGAATATCAACTGCTGGGAGCATGCTTGGATCGTAGATTATGGTGTCAGGGGTAAACAAGAGTATCTGGAGAACTTGTGGGAAAGAATAGATTGGGAGAAAGTTGAGTCCCGGTTGGGCCTAATGAGACCCTCGAGGGTGATGTATTAAGATTCAGAAGTCAAAAGAGATTGGGTTCGTTGCATGATTTGTAGAAAAGGAAGGGATAAGGATATGTAAAGGTATCATTGTACATTCAGATATAGAGATTGTAGTCTCCCATTCAGACTTTTGCATCTTAGTTCGATTGATTGTGAAGTGGTTCGATACTTCCGAATTCATTTTCATCACAAAGATCTGGTTCTCATGTGCTTGAGCCCAATCTTATAATTCCCCATGGGGTGAATTGTGGACCCCAATCCATTTCCTATCTAATGACTCAAAGATCTCCTCCCTTTTAGCTGTCTTCTTTTTAATACCGCGCGCCCGCCCCTTGTCCTCTTCCTTGCCAAAAAGCCTACTCTCCGCTTTCGAACACGGTGACTGGGATCAAATGTGTTTCTTGGACCATTTCTGACCTGCAGCGCCTGAAGTGCAGGGTGGGAACTTATGCGCGGAGCGATGGTGGCAGTTGCTGCCGTGATGGACGTGGTGTTTGTCGGTACAGCCAGGCCAGAGGAGCTGATAGAAGGGAATATCGATGGCCGAAGAGGAGTGAGAGATGTAAATGTCCTAGAAAATAGGGATTAGTTGTTAGATGAATACAGCGCTTGAGAGGATATCTCTTGGGATAAGTATTGTACCTGGCGGGGAGGGTCTTAAATAGGGTCTTGAGCGGTAGACTAGTCACGGGACGGATTGCCCGTGTGATACCGCGAGTGCACAACATCTTGATTTTTCCTGCGTTGAATCAGAGGTTGTGATTTGGTTGACGTTGATCTTGCATGAGGTTGAGGCCGAGTTAGATGGAAACTATGAACCCTAACCCTAAGCGTCATTGATCGTATCCTCATGAAAACTCACTCATACCCGCACGGGGGTGAACCTCAAAGTCGTTTAGGTACCGGAATGTCAAGGTAAAGAGTTAATTCTTTGATTTATTGGCTACAATAAAACAATCCAATCTGTATGAACCTACGTTATATAATAACTCGTCCATTCCTCATCAGCCTTTTTCTGGGCCGCCAGATATATGGGCCGGACCGGTCCAAACATATGGGCGGTGGGCCGGTCTTTGATTCTTATTTGCTGGGCTGGGCTGGTCCTGTTGGTTTTTTGGACCGGCCAAGCAGAGTAATATATGGGCCGGTTTATGACTATATTTCTCCACCGATTGTGAGAGAAAAACAGGTTTCAAATTCCTTTTTAGCTTTTGGAATTCAATAAATATCTTTGGAGGGACCATATATTTATTTTTCTATGACTGGCCTTGGTTCTATATGGGTCAGTTGGTTTGGACCGACTCCTTGGTGGGTTGGTCTGGGCCGGTCCAAGGTCAAATATAGACCGGTCCAGCCCATTAAAAAGCCTGTGAATCCTCATAGTAGGTACATACTACATGTAGTATATCTATATGTATACATGTACATGTAGTTTACTGTGCTGCGCCAGCACAGTGAATTGCGTGCAGGGGCTGGATACTAGACTAGCGGAATGGATGATCACACGAACTTGAATATACTTTCATGATGTTTCCTACCAAATTTGGATGTCTTGTGTAAGTTTTGGCCTCTACTTAGTATGTAGTCGACCGGCCGGTTGTGTTTGGAAACGTCATGAAATTACAAGTAGTAAATTTCAAATCGTTTAAATTACCTTTACAATGTGGTATACAGAGGTACATAACAACAGGCAAAAATACATGTAAACTGGATCTGTGATAATCTAGGGCAAAAAAAGATACATTCTAAGAGGACCTTGCATGTATGTACTTACAATATACAGTGATGCCGTTAACGCCGCGCTATATATAAAAAAAAACAATGAATGCAGAGCTGCACGTGTAAAATGAAACAAAAAAAAGCACATGCTAACAAAGATTTACTATCCTAAACTCCTGCCGGTGCACGTAGATAAAAACTAAAATACCAATTATTTCACCCTCTCCTCCCGTTGGCCGGTAGAAGCTATATCTAGGGGGAAAATTTAAGAGAACGCCATAGCCCAAATTAAAATTCGTATTCCGTCTTCGTCGTATCCGAGAATAAATTCTTCACCGATACCTTAAGCCAATTGGCCAGTAGCTCTTTGTTGCTGAATCATTTCACGGCGCGCCTCCAGTTCGTCCCTAGTTCTGGCCTTGGGTCTAAGGTCGAAAAAGAATGAGAGGACGTAAAATGTGAAGATAAACGCAACCAACCACTCAAATATGGCTGCAACATCGTGCTTCTTCTTATACATGGTAGCACCAAACACAATAGATCTAATTGTATATTTATTTTAGAATAAAGCAGCCTTCAAAAGAGAACTATGTATGTGGAGATATAAACTTACAGACAAACTTCAAGAACCACGATAGCCTGTTTTATCCTGTAGCTAATCTTGAGGAACGAACGTTCAATGAAAACCTTGCCCAAGCGTCGATATTCGAGGGTTGTGAAGAGGGCCGATAACACAACTCCTAGCATGAATAATAACAAGAAGAGTCTGTGAAGTGAAGGGTGGCGAGCGGTGTCGAAAACAGACAATAAGATAAGTGATACAGCTCCCATCGCACCTGCCAATATTGAGGCCCAATCAAGACCCTTTTCAAGACGTCGCACCAATGCTTGGTTACGGCCTATACAAAAGTGAGTATTTCGCCATCCAATAATATATAATCTTTTTGGGGCAGCTCGCAACTTACGCATGGCACACAACGAGAGGAAAAAGAATAAACTTGTGATGCAGCATCCCACAACAAATAGAGGCTTAAGATACGAGGCCCCTATACATCGAAATTATTACTAAGAGCCTCTTCAAGTTTTGTGGAATGATAATGTACATACCTATATCTGAGATGTAAGCAATTGTTTGGTTGCCAGTCATTGAAGTGTATACTGGTTGACCCTTAGCCAACCAAACTATAATCAAAATCCATAACATCCCTAACCAATCGGACAAAACAAGTCAGATCAATGATTTTTTACTCGTTGTGAAGATCACCTACCAAACCAAGTTGCGGCAGATATCAAAGGGAATATCCAATATGGGAAATGTTTTTTGACAGATTCCAGCCGACTCTCTTTGCGAGTGATAGCTTGGAGACTGTCTTCATCCACATCGTGTTGCAGTTGACCGTCTGACATGGAGAAACTCGGATAACTTGATCAAGCAACTCGGACAATATTGAAAGTTTGAGCAGAAAAGATTTGTAGAGCGAGATGCGAAAAAAAACAATAGAGACTTGTGAGCATAGACAGCATATTTAATAAATCTAATGTCCGGCCCGGATGTTTTTATCCCCGAGTGATGACGTATGGCCGACTCATTGCCACATCGAGGAACAGGTGAGCCTCATAGAGACTCATCTGCGGTCACGCCAACCAACAGATGGGCTACGCGGTTCCAATAGTTTCAGTTTCCCAGTTTTCAACCTTGTGCAGCATAGCCTGGCATTGTACCCCTGGAATATGATGCACTTCTCGAATCAGCCGCGTAGAAAAGATCCACGTAAATACTCATAGTAATAGGATCGCCAAGGTTACTGAGGGTTTAAGTAGGTATATACATATTACGTCTACCTACTGAGAGCCCAGCTGGCGAGGCTCCAGTATTGTAAATACCTACAAAAGTACTTACGTACCGGGGGTTAACCATAAATACCGAGAATCTGATAAGATAAACACACCTATTTCACAGCAAGATTCTCTTATCAGATTCTTCGTATTTACCCTCAACGCCCGGTACATACAGTATATATACTCTAGATCTCTAAATTAAATGACAGGTGGAATTCAACCTGTCTTTGTACTATATAAGTAGCCACATCGATTCCAATTTGCTACGCAAAGAGTACGGTGTATTGTCGGCACTGAAGTACTACTTATAAATAAGGAACCTACTCGTGAATTCATAACGTTTCCGAACCGCATACCGCCAAAATTAGGGGTCTCACGCAAGATTTGGCCTATATACACACCCGGTCCTGTCCGAAAACGTTGGATTTGTATACGAGTACGTATCTACATGTAGGTACGATTTACGTACTCTATCTAGAGTACTACTCGCAATTTTTTGGCGTTTCCGGACTGGACTGGGTCTGCATACCACCAAAATATGGTTCTTATGCACGATTTTCGCCCATATGCAGACCCAGTTCAGTCCGGAAACGCCAAAAAATTGCGAGTATAGAGTAGGTACTCGGGGCAGGTAAAAAGTACCGGACAATGCAGGTTTTTGGTTCACCAATGGGTGCGCGTGCTAGGCGTGAGCTACTACAAAAAAAGCCCAGAGACAAAACTTGCATTGTCCGGTACTTTTTACCTGCTCCGAGTACATGTAGGTGCATACTTACAATACATACGAGACAGTGATCTGACATATCACAATGCGAGGCGCGATTCACTGCTCTACTCTAAGTGGGTGCTCTTGCTCCAATCCATGGCTACGGGACCTACGACATAAATACTCCGTTGCTGTCATTGTAGACTGATTTAAATACATCATGTAGTGATCGCTGTCCGGGTAAGCTTGGACCCTGCCAGGCTTAAACTACACGTCGTGTTCCTCATGCTTAACTGCTGGCGCTTGGCAGGGTCTAATGTTGACTACAGATATCCACTACTTAATAGCTCCGCACACATCACATCACGCTCATGAAAGTTCAATACACTCTTCGCCATGTCGATAGATATTCTTATTAAGGATCACCATCCGCAGCGCTCAATCTCCTTAGTGACACAATCCCATGCCTTAATTTTTCGCCATTCCCCTAGTCTCGAAAAGCACACTGGTGATCACAGCCCACATAACTCCTACGCTTCAATAGGCGATAAGAATAACGGCTCATCTTCTGCAAATGCTCCAAGATGCATGGTGGAGCTCGTCGAGCTTGAGCATGCCGATCTCAGTGACTATAGACGTTTGACAAATCAGCCCTGTCTTGGTACACTCGGATTGATAACCTTAGGCGGGGATATTTTTATATGTGTGGTGACAGGCGCCAAAGAAGTTGCTTCGGTCCGTCCAGGGGAGAATGTATTGAGAATTCAAGCTGTTCAATTCCGTAAGCCCCAAGGTTCTATGCCAGGTGATAAGATCTAAAGCTGATATATTACTAAGATTGTCTAAATCGTACCGATTATGATGATTTTCTTGATAATGAAGTAAACCCATATTCGGTCGATTCTGATGGCTGGGATCAGGGCCGAAGTCAGCAGCCCGTTGGTTTGGAACATCCATGTTTGGCTCTGAAGAAACTTCTCAGCGATGGGACTTTCTATTATTCTCGAGATTTTGATTTGACAAATCGACTACAAGACCGGTAAGGGATTACCAAGATATCGACAATATTCAAAAAAAAAAAAAAAAAAAAGAATGAAAAAAGAGCACAGAATATCTTCTCTCGTTGAGGCCAAGCTACAACTTGATTGGGTTAGGAGGAGAGTCATTATCCAAAAGTTAACCTGAATGGCACATGGATTTATGACTTGAAAACTCTCAAGCGATCTGATCTTCTTCATCCTTTTTATGTGACCCAAAATTCGAGAGCCGGAGCTGATTCGGGTCACATTGACCACTCGTAGATCGCTCGACACCAATAATTTCGATATTGATAATTTCGACGATGCATTTTTATGGAATTCTTATATGATTCAACCGCTACTCAAATTTCGATCTCGCCTCTCGGAATCAGAACGTACTGCACTTGATAATTCAAACATTCTTACCAGTACAATCCGTGGATTTGTTGAATCACTCTTCATACCTCGTCCAAGCACTCAAATGGAAGGGAGAATGAGGTCATCAGGATTACGGGCTACATTAACATTGATAAGTAGGCTTAGTTGTCGAAGGGCCGGAACCCGATTTAACTCGAGAGGTATCGATGATGATGGACATGTGGCAAATTTTGTGGAAACAGAAACCGTAGTATGGGATCCTGGTTCAAATGGTCGCAGCCTTGGTTTCAGTTATTGTCAGATCCGGGGGAGTATTCCGAGTAAGTTTTTCTTTTTTCTTTTGCCAGGGCTCATGAGTGTTGACCACATTTAAACGGCTGTAGTCTTTTGGGAACAGCAAGCAGGTCTTTTACCAGGCCAGCAGAAGGTACAGATAACACGATCTCCAGAGGCTACCCAGCCGGCGTTCGACAAGCACATGGAGACAATTACATTGAAATATGGAGCAACACACATAGTAAACCTTCTTTCGGAAACGAAACCCGGCGAAGTGGAATTGTCAAATAGATACATGAAACACATTTCAAAATCTCCCTTGTTCGATAACGGGCAGAGGAGAACGGACCTTAGCGAATCTTCTTTGTTGATCTCGACTGAATTCGACTTCCATGCCGAGACAAAAGGTCCTGGTGGCTTTGAAGCAGCGAATAGGATTAGGCAATTTATACAATCATCTGCGGACTCATTTTCTTTCTTCCTAATGGAAAACGTTGATGTTAAAGCTCGTGGCCAATCTCATGAGGACCAGGAAGTTTATGAAGCCGAAAAGAAACGTGGGGCCGACAGTGTAGTCTTACAGCAAGAAGGTGTTTTTAGGACAAACTGTCTTGATTGTCTGGATCGAACCAACCTTGTACAGGGGATCTTTAGTCGGATGGCTATCGAGGCCTTGTTAGAACATCTCAATCAAAATGTCGGCCAAGAATTTTGGATGCGCCACTCAAGTCTGTGGGCAGATAACGGTGATGTGAGTTTCCTTAAAGCAATGTTCATGGTTAAAGTGACTGAATTTTCTAAGGCATTATCAAAAATATATGCTGGCACTGGAGCGTTGAAGTCAAGCTTTACAAGAACGGGAAAAATGAGCATAGCCGGTGCCTTCGCCGATGCCCGGAAGAGTGCCACAAGAATTTATATCAATAATTTCGCGGACAAAGACAGACAAAACACGATCGATGTTTTATTGGTATATTTAGGGGCCGTCTTGAAACAGAGTGATAGATCTCAGGGTATTGACTAAAAATCTGTTTATGTTATAGGGACGATTAGTTGGCCAAGAAGCAGCATACTTATATGATCCTATCAATGATTATGTAATGGCCGAGTTAAATAAAAGGTTGTATAATTTTTCAAAAGTAGCAACGAGGCGTGAAGTTGACGGGATATACTAAAAACAGGTCGCTTGAATATTCATACGACAAGCAAATTAATATTTATGTTGGTACCTTCAATCTCAATGGTCGAATCAACGGTTCTGAGAACGATCTTTCTGGATGGCTGTGTCCGCCATTCGAAGGTGCTGAACTACAACCCGAATTGGTAGTTGTAGGCTTTCAAGAGATTGTCGAACTCAGTCCACAACAAATAATGGCAACTACTCCGGAAAAGAGGCAGATATGGGAACGGGCCGTGAAAAAAACATTGAATAGACGATCCAAAGAATTGGGCGGAGAGGAATATATCCTTTTGCGTGGCGGACAGTTGGTAGGGGCTGCTCTATTAATATTTGTCAGGTCAAGTGCTATTGGAGACATCAAAAATGTAGAAGGAAGTCTTAAAAAGGTATGTACTTGATAATGTGTGAAATATGTATTATCTAAAATTGTTTTTGCGAATTTTAACGTTACCGATGTGTTTAGACTGGCATGTCGGGTGTAGCCGGTAATAAGGGTGCTGTTGCTATCCGGATGGATTATGCAAACACGGGAATCTGTTTCGTCACGGCGCATCTTGCTGCAGGGTTCTCGAATTACGATGAACGGAATAGAGACTATAAAACTATCTCGCACGGTTTAAGGTTCTCACGTGGACGCACGATTGACGACCATGATGCTGTGATTTGGTTGGGAGATTTTAATTACAGAATTGGACTTACACGTGAGAGGGTCCTTCAAGCGGTGGAAAATAACGACCTACAAACCTTACGCAAGCATGACCAGGTAAGTTTGTGGGACATGATAATAACTGGACTCTGTATTGTATTGACAACACGTGTAGTTGAATATACAAATGGAAGCGGGCCTAACATTTCCATACTACTCTGAAGCGAAATTATCATTTCCGCCAACTTATAAATATGACATTGGAACTGATAATTATGATACTTCGTAAGTTTGTGTTTGCTTTCGATTGCTTTATTGTCCTAGACTAATCAAAGTGCATCGAAAGTGAGAAGGCACGAATTCCAGCATGGTGTGATCGAGTTCTTAAGAAAGGTAATGTCCTTCGACAACTTTCTTATAACTGCGCACCATTACGCTTTTCAGATCATCGGCCCGTGTATGCAACCTTTCAATGCACAGTATCAGTGGTGAATGAGACCGTAAGGGATAAGATGAGTAGGGAGATATACTTGAAGAGAAAGAGTGAAGTTGGAAAGTCCGGTAGTCATTCTGGGAACCTTATAGAGGATGAAGATGATCTTCTGGAATTTGAGCCACTGGAGCCCGGACGTAAGATATCTAAAACCTTGTTATTCTGGGTGATTGGATCCCTGATATTTTTGTATGCGTAGTACCCCCACCAAGCTCAGAGCAACGAAAATGGTGGTTGGACAATGGAATGTCTGCCAAATCAACTGTGAAACCTCCGGGTCATGAATTTGTACCTAACCCGGAGCGTCCAGCAAATCCGTTCACCGAAACATCCGTACCTAATTGGATCGAGAGGACGCAGGAGGAGGACGAACATGATCTCAATAAGCCAGTTTCAAATTCGAGCAGCATGATTTCCATTGCACCATCAAAGATTGGGCCTCGAAAGCTCCCGCCGCCGTTCAATCCGACAGATCTTCCATTGCTCCCGCAGAGACTACCTGCCCCTCTGGAGCCCGTCAAGCGAAAATCAGTTGTACCTCCCCCAGTAGCACCACGAAAGGGAGCACCAGAAATACCAATGTCGTCTCATCCCTCGACCGCAAAGCCCCAAAAACAAGCACCTCCGGCGATCCCCAGAAAGCCAGCAGTACTGTCCTCGCGGGCCCACCAAGAGTCCCCATCATTACTCGACCAAGATGTACCTCTGCCGCGTAGTAATTTGACTGGCGGCTCCACCTCCACAAGAGATGTCACGCCCTCAATGATGTTTCCGCCGCCCCCTAGGCGGGTGGGAACGACGCCAATGCCACCGCCCACGGGCAGCACTTTGGCACGATCTTATACCTTCCGCGATGACACACGCTTGCCAAACAGAAACCCAAACCCGGCTCTGCCCCCTCGCAGGCAGGATGCAAGGGCCCGCAGCGTGATGGACGAGGATGAGGATGAGTTGCCGACCATGTCCTCCTGGCAGCCGTTGCGGCCGGCTTGATTGAGTAGGCCAACTATGACAGTCGTTTACAAACCTTGGTATTTGAGTTAAGTACCTAATATGGGGGGGGGGGGGGGGGGGGGGGGCAGGTACTAATTATATGTGATGAGGTGGATCGAAAATAGATGGTAAACCTTCTGGGGTTAATTACGGGCCCCTTTTCTCTTTTTTTCTCTTCTTTTCCTTTTTTTTTTTTATCGTAGGTGGTTTGTCAAAAACAAAAGAATCGTATGCATGTAGAATAACTAGAAACACACAACAAACTAAAAAGGGCAAGCCGCTCCGATCCGCTCCATCCGCTCCATGAACCGCAAGAAAATGTAGATACAATAGAAAGAACCACGCCGAAGAAGAAGAAGGAAAGCATGCCGGTGTTGGGTGGTGGTGGTGAGTGGGATAGAGGAAGAATATACAGCAATGAAATGAAAAACGAAAAACACATAAAGAACATAAGGAAAATCATTGATACATATAAGAAGAAGCCGTATGAGAAAAGAAATTGAAGAAAAATACATTATTGCAACTTATAAATCCCGCTAAAAAAAACTATGGATTTCATAATATTCATCACCGTCAATCGCAATCGCGCACCAATGCCCATCCCCATCTAATCAAGGTTTCTAACTGCGCAATCTATAATGACTGCATCTATGATGATATATATCCCACTCATAGATCAATCACCACGGCGCTCAAAACCTCCAAACACGATACGCATATGCGCAAATTTAAACAAATCCAAGTCCAAAAAAAAAGTCCAATCATCATCATCAACGTGCGTGCCCGTAGTGGTGGGGCCGCCCACTCAATTCCTACCCGCACGCCCCACTACTTCACACCCTAATAGTACCTCTCATTCCCATACTGATCCACGACCACCACCTTCTCCCTCGTCTCCCTCGCCGAGCGCTGCGACACCGCCGAATGGCGCGGATTCACATACGACACGCTGCCCGACCGCCTCCCATGGAAATTATTATACCCATACCTCTCCCCGCCTCCGCCGCGCTGGCTCCCAGAGTACCCCAGCTCACCCCTACTGCTCGCCGCGCCGTCCGTGATGCGCTGGCTCGACCCGCGCGGCCCGCCGTCAACATATCTGATGCCGCTCGCGCGCGGCGAGCGGCCGCCGGCGTGGCTGGCCGACGAGTCGACGTAGTAGTCGACGTCACGGTTGCTGCGCGTGCTGATGACGCTGGCGCGTGGCGACCCGCTGCTGCCCCAGTGCGAGTCGCTCGGGGGCACTGCGGCGGCGGCGCCGCCTTGGATGATCATTGTGTGGGTTGTTTCTGTGCGGTCGACGCTGTGGGAGGCCGGTGGGGGCGGGGGCATTTTGATGGTTTCGATGACGGTGGTGGTTTCGCGGTCGCGGGAGCGCGAGCGCGAGCGGTTGCGGGAGTTGCGGACGGAGGTGTGGGAGCGGCGGGAGCGGTGGGAGCCGTGGATGCTGTTGCGGCGGGTGCTGTTGTGGCGGACGACGCGGGCGGGGACGACGGCGGGTTCGTCGATTTCGGGGCGCACTTTGATCATGCACATGGTGGGCGGTGGGGGGTGGCTACTGGCTAGCTACGGGCTGGGGAGAGAGGGGGGGGTTAGCAATGGTATGGAGGTGAGGGCGGTGGTGGACTGGCGGGCGGATTGACGCTTCGCGCCGGGTTGTCACCGAACGAACGAATGCTTTCAGAACATACCTGGGATCAATGATGAGGTGTGAACTGATGATAGCCGCCGGACAGCCAGGTAATAATAACAAGTCACAATAACAAGAACAACACACTCCACTCTACTGCTTCTCTGCCGGTGGTGGTCCCCTGCTTTAACGCTTCTTCTCAATGGGAGACGAGAGGAGAGGGGACGAAATTCCGCGAGTGGGAAAGAGTCGGTAGTCCGCAATAACAATTTATCGCAGGGACAGCTAGATGCCGCCGTGTATATTAACGAGGGGAGTGTAAGTAGAAATTATGAACGATCAGTACTGTCGAGGAAGACAGAGGGATGTGAAAGAAATGAAAAGGAAAGAAGGGAAAGAAAAGAAAGAAAGAGGAAGTAGAGAGACAGGAACAGCCGCCCAGGTGAAGAGGAAGAAGAAGAGGAAGATGATCAGCAGCAGCAGCAGCACAGCAGCACACCAGCGGCGGGCGGTACCACAGAGACAGACAAGACAGACACATGGATATAAAAAGGTGGCCTTGATTTCTTTAGTTTAGCAGCTGGCCGATCAGACAGTTCGCTGCCAGTGCCCAGTGTTCTGGTTGAGGGGAGTCTACCTACATGTGCATGTAGGTACTGTGCTGTAGGTACTGTGCTGTAGGTACTGTGCTCTCTCTGCCTACCTACATACTCTACCTACTCTGCTCTCCGGGCCACTGCTCTCACTCGCCCACTGCTCTCACTCGCTCGCCCACTGCTCTCACTCGCTCGCCCACTGCTCTCACTCGCTCGCCCACTGCTCTCACTCGCTCGCCCACTCGTCTTCACCTCAGTGACGTCGTCGTCCGGTCTCAAGAGTTGCATGCATCCCTGTCCCTCACCCACTCTCTCTGCCTCTGCCTGCCTCTGCCTGCCTCTCTACCACTCTTCAATCCTAGGCACAAATCCTCACCTGCCTAAAGCACAATCCCACAGTGCGAATCCATACATACCCGCCAGGCGAAAATAGAGTAGCGGAAACGACAGACAGCCAGAGCTTGAGACAGCATACCATAGTTAGGCACTTTCACTTTTAGATATACGCGCGACAGACAGAACGCGCAAGCTTGAATTGGCATTATCATCCCTGGGCCGGGATCGGAGGGCTGTTACTTTTTTTCCGTTTTCTTTCCTTTTCCCGCCCGCCGCCCACCAACCTTCCCTTCCCTTCCCTTCCCTCCCACTGCCAGATTTCCGGTGCTCTCACGATCTGGCATTGGCAGTTATGTAACTGGGATGGTGGTGCGGTGGAAACAGCCAGACGCAACGCACGAACCCGCCGGCGCTCAGCCACAAGCGAGACAGACAGACAGCGACACACCGGCGGGGAGAAAAAGAAGTTCCTCACGAAGGGGGGAAGTGCATCCCAATCACTACCCCCTGCTTTGACGTCACCATGGGATTCTGGCTGGCATGCCGTTATTGGACTTGCAATTGTCGTGTTTGCGCCATCGGAATTGCGAGAAACAGACCTCCAGGAAGTGGGTAAGGGTAAGGTTATATGCATGCATGCATCTTTTTTTCTTCCCACTTTCTTCCCGCCGCGCCAGTTGGATAGACAGGTACCGACCGGTAATTCGCAGATTCGCTTCTTTCTCCTGGGGGTTTTCAATTTCTCAAGGCAGAATCAACCTGGCTACATGTACCTACCTCTATTCTTCTTTGCACACTTTAATTGGTACCACCACAGCAACGCCGGAGAACCCAAGGGGCTGGTCATGCTAGAGTCTATTTACTCTAAAGAAATCACACACGACATGCATAATGACTACTGCTTACTCTAGAGAAAGAAAGAGTCACACACAACTACTGCTTCAATTCGAAAAAACCCAAATCTAACGCAGTCGCTCCCAATTACGAGGGACGGGATTCACAATTCGTGATGAAACCAAAAAGAACAGAAGAAAGTCTTTCCTAGCGGGTATTGTTGCTCTGAAAGCCCTCAACAAAAAATCGAAAATCACCGCTTCATTAAAAAAAAAAACCTGCCATTTTTCCCTCCCTCATAATGAAAACCCCGCACATTTACTCGACAGTAACGGACTTGGCCAAGTTTCCTGTTGGATGTTAGGAGGTGATGCCTACTGAATAAGGATATAGGGATGAACATACTTGGGAAGTCAACGTTAAGGTTCTCAGCAATGGCAAGCCAGTACGCAACAAGCTGAAGGGGAATAACGTTGAGAAGACCCTGCAAGCAGTCGACGGTTGTCGGCATCTCAATCTTCTCGCACTTCTCATTGACAAACTCCTCGTCATCCTTGTTGCAGATGACAATTGGGCGACCACCACGAGCAGTAACTAATTTTGACGTTAGCATAAATTCAGATTAGTGGACGGCTTCGGGTATGAAATTACCTTGCTGGTAAGCGTTCAATGATTTCTTGAAGATCTCGTCCCTGGTCAAGATCATGATGATGGGCAGGTTCTCATCTACGAGAGCCAAGACACCATGCTTAAGCTCTCCGGACATGACAGCCTCACAGTGGAGGTATGAGATTTCCTTAATCTTGAGCGCTCCCTCAAGAGCGGTAGCGAACTGGTTACCTCTTCCAAGGAGAAGCAATGACTTCTGGTTCTGGAAGAAGGTCTTGCACAACTCCTTGATGGCCTGGTCCTGCTCCAAGATGCTCTTGATCTGGTTGGAGATGTTGGCCAGACCATCCATGATGTCTGCCCGCCTCTGGATCTTTGACGCACGGTCCTCACTCAGCGACAGCGCAAACATGACCAAGGCAATGAACTGCGATGTGTAGGCCTTTGTTGATGCCACACCGATTTCCGGACCAGCGTTGATGTGGACACCACAGTGGGTGAGGAGTGAGATTGAAGATCCGACAACGTTAACGATACCAACAGTAAGGGCTCCGCGCTCAAGGCAGTACCTCAACGCCATCAGTGAATCGGCGGTTTCACCAGACTGTGAAACAAACACGCAGGTGTCGTCACGGAATACCGGAGCCTGCCTGTCCAAAAAGTCCGAGGCAAGCTCAACGGCGATCGGGATCTCTGTCAACTCTTCAAAGATTCCTCGCACAGCCATACAGGAGTGGTATGAGGTACCGCAGGCAATGAAGATAATTCTTCTGCAGCGGCGGATTGTGCTCAAGTATTGTCGGAGACCACCGAGGGTAACCTTCTTGTTCACAGCGTCAAGGCGACCACGCATAGTGTTGACAACCGACTCGGGCTGCTCGAAAATCTCCTTCTGCATGAAGTGGTCGAACTTGCCCTTCATGATCTCCTGAAGCTCCAACTCCAATGTCTGGATGGTACGGATGGCAGAAGCACCGTTGTTCTTTCCGGCACGATGGATGTTGAGCTGGCCTTCGTGGATGTGCGCAATGTCATCATCCTCAAGGTAGAGAACCTTCTTGGTGTGCTCAACGATAGCTGATGGATCGGAACTCAAGAAGAACTCAGCAGGCACGGGCATTCCGTCGTCAGACAGGAAAGCACGAGACTGGGATCTGTGAAGAAGGCTCTTGTCCGGAGGAGCCAAGCTGTTCTGGGGACCGGACTTGAGGTTCCTCAAGGCAACGTTGTGTGAAGCCTGCTCGGCCGGAAGAGGAATTGAGTCGGAAAACTCAACATCAACAAAGTCCACCTTCATCTTCCTTGAGGTCTTGACACCGATGACAAGAGGAGATCCCTTACGGGCAGCAATGACCTCATGGGGGTAGTGTACAGACTTCAGCAAAAGTCCGAAAGCACCCTCGAGCTCTGAGATGATGGACTTTGCCAGGGTGGTGAAGTCAATGCTCTTGTTCTGGTCGTAGATGTATTTGGCAAGCTTGGCGATACACTCGGTATCGGTCTCACTCTCAAAAACCTCACCCTTGCTCTCCAAAAGCGCCTTCAATTCCTTGTAGTTTGTGATGATACCATTGTGAACAACGGTGAATCTGAATGTGGGGTCACTCCTAATTGAACAAAAAACAGTTGATTAGCGCGATTCATGTTCATATTTCAATTATGTGAGAGGAAATATACCTATGAGGATGGCAGTTGACGCGCGAGGGCTGTCCGTGGGTGGCCCATCGGGTGTGGGAGATGGCAGCGTGCGAAACGAAAGTAGCATCAAGGTCGGGCTTGGAGTCAGCGATGAGCTGCTTGAGCTTCTCAACCTTTCCAACTTCCTTGAATGCGAAAACCTCGCCCTCCTTATCTCCGTCAACCGCTACACCTGCTGAATCATATCCACGGTACTCAAGACGAGAAAGACCTAAAAGAGTTATCAGTTAGCGGATTTGCCATTTCCGTACCGAAAATAGTAACAATTTTCTGAGCCTACCTTGGATCAATGTGTCCAGGATAAATTTACGATCCTTCTCAACAAGGTAATTGATGTATCCGAAAATTCCACTAATCAATCAACAATATTAGCTTACAATTCAAATTATTTTTCTTTCACTATTTTTTCGATTTCATTTTTTTCTTGCTGGGGAGCTAGTGGGGGGATGGATCGAGCTGCTTGGGCTTTCCTTACCACATTGTGATATCTATAAACTGAAAATAAGTCTGTAAAAAATTCTGTTCAACCTAGATAGAGGTTGTGATGATGATGAGGGAATTCTCTTGATGGATTGATGGATTGATTAATCGATAGGATTGATGGAATGATGGGAAGATCGTTGGAGGTGAATCAGCGAGGAGGTTAAGTGGATATGTGGGGTTGATGGAATGATTTGAGCGAGAGGAAGAAAGACGGGCAGAGTAGGAGGGATTACGGGCTCTTAAGTACTCTGGTCAGACTGGGTCCGTGGAGCCTGAGAATTGAAGGCGGAGGAGTAGATTGTAATAGAGGAGGGGGAAGTTCTCGTGTCTGCTTGCTTGTCTGGCGGGCTGCTGCAGCACACAGCAGCTTGAGCTATCCCATCCAACGCGACGGTCCACCCACACCCCTCGTAGCCCCTCCTACCCCATGCACGCCCAGCCTTGGGGCGGAAAGGGGCCCTTTCAAAGACAGGGAAAGTCTGCCGCAGCCCACTCTGTGCAGCCACCAGACCACAGGGAATCCGATCAGCTCTTTCCCCACTTCAGACCTGCTAGATACGGAGCACAGAAGCCTTTGCATTCCGATCACCTATTAGATCACATATTAGTACACATGCTACTCACGGTCCTTCCAGCACTAAATTTCGATGGCACAAGAGGTACATCTAGATTTCAATCCAGCGCTGCAAAAAAAAAAAAGACCTGTACGTGCGCTGGAGCTGCCACGCAATATCTTAGACATTTTGGTGAGTATTTCTGCTCACTGAATAGCAGGCGAGAATTCACAATTACGCAGCTGGTTATTTCCTATCAGAATTTCTAAAAAGGGATCCCGCTTTCTTTTTTTTTTTGATACCTTGCGTCTCGGCGTTCTCTCACAGCTTTCCTTTTCATGGGTAGCTTTCCATGGACTCGTCATTAGTTTTCTTCGCTTCTTTACATATATACGATGGCTGTGTTTCTAGAAATAGGAAATAGGACTTCAATCCGGCTTAAACAAAGCTCATGGAAAGTGGGGAGTGGGGTGAAATGATACCTCGATACCTAGGTACAACTATTTCTAGTATACCATGAGGTACCAATGTGTTATTACTCTGCTTGTTACCAGTTCTATATCGCATACCTGGTCATTAATCGGCACGGATGGCGGGCACTGTTTTTGGATTAAAAAGAATAACCTTCCGTTGCAAAAGTTCAATGCTCCGGGAAGCTAGGCTATTTTTTTTTTCCTCCTGCAAAGAACAAAGGGTCTGTCCATGTTCAAAAGCGGCTGGCAACGACAGATGTACTAAAAAAAGAAATAAACATCTTTCACCAACCCCAATCATCGGCCCTGTGTCTTCATTAGATACCCGCAATCATCCTCCCGAGAAGAAACCTGGTTCAGCTCACGATTTGACCGAATTTGCCGAGTCGAAAGTAAAACTTTTCCTTCCCTTTTGATTCCGTCTGTAAAGGGTTAGGCTGGGCTTCGGGATGTCCCCGAGACTTTCTTTTCCCAACTTTAAAAGGATCGACTCCAATGAAAGCCAAAATTTCGTACGACCGAAATGCTTTTGGCAGTGAATTGTGTAACTTGCGCAATTGATCACGAAACCACACGCCAGAGATGTTTATAGGAACCTTTGGTCCAGAGCAACGGAAGGTCTAGGTAAGCTTTGAGGGGTTTGGATTTTTGGCAAGATCCGTCGACGATAATGAGTGAAACAATTTTGCGGCTGATTTAGAGTATCTTTGTTCTTTTATTAGATTGGCTGACCAAAACGTGTTTCCAGCCCTACAGCTGTGTCACGATCACGAGTTTTGCTACTACCAGGATTCAAGCTTGGCTACCGCATGCCGCTGACCTGGAATCACGAAATATGTGCTTAACTACAGTACCGTACATCATGTATGACATACATACAATGATCCTAACTTACTAAGATATCGTCTTTTGCTGCTCGTCAGCGTAATATGAAAGACTGACAGGTAATATCGTACTTCACATACAGGACAAGGCTGAACCGTGGGCTAACCAGGATATGTTATTGTTTCGTTTGGGGTGCTAGTAAAAGCCCGTGGCTTACCGGCATACAACCTCAGCTGAGATTTGACTCGGTGAGAGGGGCCGGGAAGCGATTAAATTGTTGTGCTTCAGTAGTGCTCACTGCTCAGTAGTGCTAATCATAAACTACATATATGGCAGGAATGGGCCATGGGGCTGACAATCTTGATCATGAAGCAGGTAACTGATCTGTTTCCGTGTGTATGCTTAATTCCGTAAACAGTTCATGTGTTTTTATTCTTGCTTTTCTCGGGCCTGTACTTCGAGTTCAGGGTCATTCGTGTGTGTCAGGAGGGTTTAAATTTACCCGTTTAGCAGAGTTGATGTTTGGAAACCCCTCAATTAGAGAAAGAAAGAAAAGGGATTTTGATAAACATTGTTAGTAGTACGTAAACTAAAGGAAAACTCAGTTGGGACGTATAACAAGTCGTGCACTTAAGTATTTTCAAATCACAAGTCGATTCGTTCATTTACTGCGAATGCGCCATTGAACGAATCTTAACTCCGCAGGAGGTCTAAATATCGATCCAGCTACTTGCCTTAATTTCCACAGCTAAGCTCCAATAATTTATACCTTGCTTAGAACTCTAGAATGGCCTCCTGCAGTTAAGCTTTCCACCATGTTTATCGTATATGTCGTAATTACATAACCTCAGCAAGAAGTACATTAGTCTAGCTACATGTATGTGCATAAGAAGGCGTTCGTGCGCTCAGTGGATGAAATTAATACTGAAGTCTTTGACGGTACCGCATACTCCGTTAAAATACGGTATGTTCTTGTAATTCCATACTGATGTGGTAACAGTTTTACCCCCATTTCTATCAATCAGCCACATACTTGAGGTAGTGAGTACATATCCGTATGTACACCCGCAGGAAAAAAGTGAGGAAACAATGAGTAGCGTGACAACGAGTGCGTCTAACTTGACATCCCCACACCCGCAATACAGCCTCACGAGTATTCCCTAGCCATGCCTTTTGACAAGTCTGGAAAGTGAAGAGAGGCTACTCTTAATGAAAACATAAAAGTTATTGAAGCCCAAGCTAGGGAAGAGTGGGAAAGGCTAGATTGGGAAAATGTATATAAATCATTGACAGCATACCAAAGAGAATTGCAGCAGTAGTAAAGAACAAGGGAAGTCATAAAAAGTGGTAAATATAGTTCAGAGGCCGTAGTATCTATTCTGTATCTCATTGTGTAGTCATATTACTTCTATTCGTTTCCATTTTCACTTTTTCATTAGGGTTCTGATTGGTTGCACTCGTTGTTTCCTCACTTTTTTCCTGCGGGTGTACATATATGTGGCTATACGCTTGACTCTACCCCTTTTCAAGTCTTGATAGATTCTGCCCTACGAGACCCTGGCTCCTGGGATCCTTGTTGTGAGTATTCTTAGTTTAATTTATGATGGTACACAACTTCATATATATAGTGAAAACACCAGCATAAACCTCTCCTTCCTCAATATATCGTACTACATGCAGATAGACGGCCTCCCTGGCCACTCGAACAGTTAACGTAGAAAAGAGAATATCAACGTTGTAAGTGGCTTCTGTACCTCTTCTCCACCAATCATCTTTGACTGTCCGAGTGAGGGGGGTGTCCGAGTGGCTAGGGAGGCCGTCTATATCATTGTATCTACTAGTAGTACTACCTAATCTAGACCAGGGAAGTTACCAAACTTCCTCGCAGTCTTGGCACTCGTCACGTGTGTTGTGCAGCTAAAGACCCGAGTGACGTGGCTGCCAGTGATCAGACAGACAAGAGTCGACGAGGAGGAGGAGGAGGAAAGGGGAATTGAAGAGTGAAAAGAACTCGGATAGAATCGTAATGCATGGCTAAAAGAAGCTTTTTGTCGTCTCTTGTCTTGCTTGCCTAGGTAGCTAACGCGAGTTACGAAATGGTATGTAGATCCGCTAATCGGGCTAGAGATATCTATCTTATCGAGACTTCAACCACCCTCGTTCATTCCCCGGACCCCTAATCTGTGGTTATTCGTACCCCTCCGCCGAGTCCGTCCCCCATTTGCTCTGCGTTGTCCCTCGTCCCACACTCACATATTTCCCCCACTACCACCATCACCTCCTACCACCACTGACTGCTCTTCCATCCTCATTTTCTTCCCCATCTCTCATCTTCCAAACCAATCGATCCATCCAATTATCCACCAGCTCGTTGTTCACACTAAAATACAACAAAATCAAGATGTTCTCTGGCACTAAAGGTCCTGGTGAAGTTGAAGCATTGGATGGTATGTTTTTGCATCCATTCCCTTAGCTTACTGTTCCTCTTCTTGCCAATCAGTACCCCACAATTTCAGTATAGATTCCAATAAATAAATTTTCAGGAACCAACCTCCGTGTTCTCATCGTGCACGCCCGCTGGAATCCTACCTTGATCACACCTCTCGTGGAAGGCGCGAAGAAAAAGCTTCTAGAACGTGGCGTAAAGCCATTGAATATAATTACGCAGAGCGTCCCTGGTAGTTGGGAACTGCCCATAGCCGTTCAACGGTTCGATTTCCCTTTGAGAACACCTTCCATATTATCATTATTCCCTGATACGCTGGAGAGAACCACTGCATATTTTCATCCATCCATCCCACCCACATAAATACAATGTGATATTTTATAAAATTGAAATAAAGCCAATATCTAAGACTTTGATTATTCAGATTGTATGCTGCCTCTCAGGTCCAAGCTTCCTCAGCTCCTTCTGGAGACCTGCTTGGGGGTCTCGGTCGCAGTTCAACTCCAATCCCCGGTTCCACCTCCGGAACCTCAAGCAAAGGACCATTCGATGCTATCATTGCCATCGGGGTGTTGATAAAGGGCGATACAGTGCACTTTGAACACATTGCGGAGTCAGTCTCCCGGGGCTTGATGAGGCTTCAACTGGATTTTGGTGTCCCAGTTATTTTTGGGCTGCTGGTAGGAATATATCTGCTTCTAATACCAATGAAACGCGGGAGTTCTAACTTTTGTTTTGAAGACTGTTCTCAATGAAGACCAGGCGAAGAAACGCGCTGGGTTAACGGCAGATGGTCACAACCACGGGGAAGACTGGGGTGAAGCAGGTGAGCAGCTATTCTTAATCGAAAATATCTCCAGATTAGAAGACTAAGTCAGGCTATAGCTGTCGAAATGGGCGCGAAGCGAAAGCTCTGGGCGGATGGTGTCATCGGGTAGACATCATAAACGAATCATTGGGGAATCATTGGGCAATCCGTGGCGGCTCAAATAGTCCAACATCAACATAGGTTTTATCGGCCGCACACCATGATGGTTTTCCCCTGTCGTTATCTGTCAATTCCTTTTTTATTTTGTGCTTTGAGCTTGAAAGCGAAGACAAGAAGTCACAGAGTTCTCGTCCGCTGCCATTTGACTGGCAGAAAGCAGTTTAGAAGTCCGTTATTTGTATATCATGGAAATATTATTTTTCGGCCGGATGAAAGCAAGAAAACAAGGACACGCAAGGTGATCAAGGAAACTCGGGTGATATTCCCTGTGACGATCAAGATATATATAGACGCCTTGCATGTCTCTCATCAACTCGTATAACTACTTGGCGCTAGATTGAGGGTAAACTGTACGGCATTATCAATTATAATTCCCTTAACAATCTAAAGCATTGCCCGTACCCTACAGGAGCTGTACAATAAAGAGCAATTGAACTAAATAGGGATCCGTCTCTTGGTACCCTTTGGTCGCAACCCCCCCCCCCCCCCCCCCCCCAAAACTCCATCCTTATATGAAATCAACGAAAGATATTCTTTATTCCCGGTTGCGAATAAGTCTCCAATTTCTTCTGTCCTACTCTTAATAGGTGCTCAATTGTTATAAAGTCCTTCTTCTTGATATCGAGGTGCGCCCGGAACTCGTCCCTGCATATCATTTAGAGTGTTTTAGATGACGGCATTTATTAAACATCAACAAACCTGGCAAAGTTGCGGAAATTTTCCCTTGCATCCTGTATGTGTCAGACAGCGTTCGTTCCAGTCCACTTGGATATCATTCGGCAAAGGGATAGAAGTGCCGCCATACTCTGATACATACCAATGGCTTCTTCCTAGCTTCTCTCAAGCAAAGTCTATATAACGCGAGAACATCTCGCTGTATGCCTGTTCGCTTCATATCAAGTATCTAGCCCTAAGCGCAGCTACTTGAATTGAGTGACTGATATATGTGGGGATCGTTGGCGGAGGTTGCTCTGTCCATTCACGCTGTGCCTTGGCGTACCGCGGTAGGTTACGCGTGGGGAGGATAGCCGGTTAGCCGATGTAGCTTTAACAGCGACGAGACCCCCAAAACTTTAGAATTCTATCTTCAACTGAACTATCATTCTCGCTATGTCATCTCGTACATTCTCGGTATGATATTATATCCTACTACCGTGATATATTTGTTTATTGTTTCTAATCCCTCTGGCATAGCGCCTTGTCCGATTCGTGGCTGGCGACGGAAAGACGTACTACGGAGACGCCATTCTCCCCCACGGAGCTACTGATGTGTCCAAGGCACTCAAGGCCAAGCTTATTGAAGGAGACATATTTAATGCCAACCACAATGTTACTGAGAAGATTATGGTATTATATCTATACTAATGGACCTACGATACCACATTACCTCATATAAGGCATAATAAATAGCTTACTAATTATAATAAAATCAGGATATCAGAAAACTTCTGTCTCCGCTTGCATTGGAAGATATTAAGACTGTAAGATGCTTAGGTCTCAACTATGCGCAGCATGCAAAAGAGGTAGTCTTTCTTCCAAATAAATAGTCTTCTACAGATTTAAGCCTGGAACTAATATCACTATCATTAGTCAAACATGCCAATTCCAAAGTTTCCTGTAGTTTTCGTGAGTTTTGGGCCTAGCTTCTGATGGATTTGAATTTCCCTGTGCTGATGTGAATCAGTACAAACCTGTCACTTCAATTGCGGGACCTTCAGGTATGTATTAAAAAGTCCCTTTTCAGATGATACTGGAGAGTCTAGAAGATATTCTAGAAGAGTTGTCCTAATTCTCGAACTAAGATCCAATTCCGGTTCACACTATTGTCCAATCTGACCCCGGTCTCGACTACGAATGTGAACTTGTTGCCATCATTGGCAAGGAGGCAAAGGATGTTTCAGAGGACAAGGCTTTGGAGTATGTTCTAGGCTACACGGTAGGAAATGATGTGAGCCACAGAGAATGGCAATTGAAGAAAGGAGGCGGCCAATGGTAAGTAAATACACTGTAATTGCATGAAAGATCCTTTATTAATTCAGGCCCAGGTCATTGGGCAAAGGATTCGATGGGTGGGCACCCATGGGGCCAGCTATCATTAGCCCTAAGCTTATCCAGGACCCTCAAAACCTTCGAATCTCAACAAAGGTATGCATATCATGGCGATGATTGACTCTTCTCAGTCGGGAAATGCTTACGGTATTGTGTCTAGGTCAATGGCAAGACTATGCAGGACTCATCAACAGCAGATATGATATTCTCTGTAGCCAAAACAATCGCCTTCTTATCACAAGGAACCACATTAGTGCCTGGCGACATTCTTTTTACCGGAACGTAGGTGATCTAGCTTTTGCAATGTGAACAATGATCAATAGCTAATAATTCTCTGATAGGCCGCAAGGTGTGGGTATGGGTAAAACACCTCAACAATGGCTTAATGACGGAGATGTTGTAGAGATCGACCTTGAGGGTGTGGGTAGTATCAAGAACAAAGTGGTATTTTCTCAGACCAAGGCAAAGTTGTAATGGTACATAATATGTACTGTAGACGCGATATCCTTATGTGAAGTAATTGACCAAGTATTGTATCATTATGATCAGCATAGATTATACACGACGTCCATTTCGATATATAACGCTAATCATCGAGAAAGTTGTTGCTTGTGTTTTTACCCAGCTTGAGATACCGATATGTGTCCAATTGCAAATCGTGTCCCCATAAATCAAACTATATGTAGCTTTTAGTGCTCCCTTACACTATATAGCCCCACTGTCCAATTCTTCCTTTCGAGAAATTCCACTCCTCTTTCACAACTCATAATTGGGATTCAACCCGTTTCTTCTCTTTTCCTTGCATTGCCCTTTACCTACACAAATTCAATACCCTAACGTTACTGGCTTCTTCGTCAACATGAAGCTTTTCTTGATTCTCATCGCGCTCTTTTTTGTCGGCATCACGCCGATTGTGGCTGATAAATTATCATTATGTAAAGAAATTTGTTGGATTCACGGTTACTTTGACACGGACACCGATTGTCATGATTCTTGCCTTGCAAGTCCGGTATCTATCCCCAACCCTTTCTTATTATCTCTGATATCTTTCAATTGGATAACTGATATCAGTATCTAATAGAACCCCGATGATTCCGAGGTGCTGCTTACAGAACAGTGTGTGGTATGTTGTGCCTTTCTCTACATACAAATTAAATCTGATAAGACTTCTTACGTTTGATACTAGGTTGACTGCACTGAAAAATTTATGTCTCCTACTGTGGATATGAGAGGCTATACTGAGTGCCGTTCAAATTGCTACGATAAAGCGCTGGGTCCTTTCATAAACAGGTTCAAATCGGGACTCGTGAGGCGAGAATTACATTCTATCGGTATGTTCTTTGGTCCTAGCCAGAATTAAGGCCTGCATGAAAATCCGCTCACGATGACGGCTTAGAACCTCCAGAGGAGATTAAAGATTGCATTGTAAGTCCTAATACAATTATTTAGCCTCTCTTTATTAATCAGGGTTTCTTAACCAGATGAAATGCCAAAGAACACATCCGCAGCTGGAAGAAGGCAACCCTACTCCCACATGCCAAAACTACTGCAGGATAGTAATGCAAGACCAATTCGATCTGCAAGCTCCTGCCAAACTACGCCCATCTGTATCATCTTGCGAATCGAAAACCTCCGACAAAGTAAGGCTTGGTACCCCCCCTTTGTATTTATAGTCATACATATTAACTCCGTCCAACATCTGCAGCACACCGGGACCAAGAGCCTGGGTTTAGCTGTTACCCCGAGCGAAAGTCCTTTGGCGAAGGTTGTAGAAGATTCGAGCATAGTCAAGTCTGAAACGAACCCTTTTAATGCATACAACAAGTTTCACGCTGGTGCTATTCCAGCTACAAACAGCACGCCGACAGGGCATTCAGGGCGCCCAACACCTATTGGAGAAGTTAACGGTGCCTTGTCTTGGGCTGAATCTGCCTATTGCTCGTTCTGGTTTTTTGCTTGGACCTCTTTAGCTATTGCAATTGCAATTGGCACACAAATGCTCTGAAGAAAGAAGTTTGTCTCCATTCTTTAGCCTCGAGTCGACAGATAGGTTGTTTTAGGGAGAGGTGGAAGACCTTCTTTTAGTTTATAAGACTAAAGGAACTTGTTTTGGGATCTTATTTGTTACGTTGTAACGACTTTGTACACAAGGATTATTTTTCCTAATCAGCCGAAGAACGCGAAATGAAATGGCAGGCGCCAATTATAGTTGAGAGCAAAACGAAACAGGAGTCACATGCATGCTTGTGTTGGCGGGGTCGAGTGAGATTCTATGGAGCAACGAAGTGCGGGCACGTGACGACGGTACTTTAGGATACTCTCGCTATGTACAAAACACAGTCCAATTTGGTGAAATTAAACACGTCAATCAATTGTAGATATGTTGTTCTTTGTGGAATCTTGGAACTGAGATTTTCGAGAAAGGAGATTTCTGCAGCTAGCTGTAATACCTGCAGCAGTTCCAATCCGGTTCTCGCTTGTGAAAGTGCAACCGCAAAATAAATCATATCGTCATTCTTCGCCCCGCAAACCATACCCCCGGAAAAGCAAATTTCGATAACCATTGACCCTTCACCATAATATCCTCAGCCGAACCCATGCCGGTGAGAACATGGCCATAAGTCCTGGCCGTCGGTTGTACGCCAGCATCTGGGACGCTGTCCTCCCATTGCCCCATAATTCTCTGTTATCTTTTCTAGTTTCTTCAGCATCAATTGGAAGCGCTTCTCGAGTACCAATACATTCCTTTTCACACAGGCCTCGCTTTCTCTCCGCGTCCGCTGGGGCGGCAGCGGCACTATGGTCTCCAAGGTCAAAATACTTTATTTCTCGTGGATTCGCGGGGGTTTGTGTGCGGACAGATGCCCCGACAATTGCAGCCACCTCAGAGACGAAATCGTGCGCTGTGAACGCAGTGGACAGGGGTTTGACATCTAGTAGTGTGTTGGATCGACGAAAGATATCGAGGATGACAGGCGCTGCTTGGTCTAGGTGTATTCACACTGGGGGTGGGTCGATAAAGCCGAAAACTCTATCGAAGATAAGGTCCGGCTCTTTACCGCTCCGGAGTCACAGCGCAAGTGGGAATGGGAGAGGGGTTCATAGTGGGATTGATCAGAGGGTAGGGAATAGAAGTAGGGGCATCGGTGTTAATGCAAACGATAACGGGAATGTAAGTGAAAATGATAGTAGGAAAGGCAGCGAAAACGGTAGTGAAGGGGGCGAGCCGGCAAAAAGAGATGTATCGAATAAAAACCCCGAAGAGAATAGACTTTTAGACCGGATTTCACACATCCACCGGCCAACAAAGGATGAGATGTTGGCAGCAGCAACCGGGTTTTTTCAGAGATTGAGGATCAGGACAAAATGGGCCATGATACGACAGATGAGACCATATAATTGGGACGATCTCAGCGCTTTCTTCTCGTGGCTACTGCTAGGCCAGGTTCTATGGATCGTGCTTGGGACCACAACCTTTGTTTCATTGACCATATTATTGGTCAATACTGTGTTCGCGCAGGAATCTCTTGCCAGAGCTGTTGGTAACTATCTTACGAAGGAAACTGGGGTCAAAGTCGTATTTGAGTCAGCCATCGTTCCCAGCTGGAAAGGTGGTTGCATCACATTCAAAAACGTCTTTGTATCCCGTAGACCTGGTCGAGAAAAGCAAGGCAACAAAAACGTTCGTAAGGGATCCTCAGTTACTGCAGCGGCTGCAGCAGCTGCAGCAGCTCATGCAGATGAAACAAGTGGAAAGGATCATAGCCATACGGTTATGGCAGAAGAGGAGGATACGAATTATACCCAGTTTGACGTTACTATTGATGCCGTCAATGTCACCCTTTCCTTCACAAAATGGATGAATGGCAAAGGTCTTCTCAAGGATGTCGAGATTAAAGGAGTTCGTGGGGTAATCGACCGAACCCATGTCAGCTGGGCTGAGGGCGTTGACCCCAGATCTTTCAAGCACGAACATGTTCCAGGCGATTTTGAGATCGATTCTTTCAAGCTCGAAGATCTTTTGGTAACAGTACAGCAGCCAGATGGGTTCCGCCCATTCTCTTTCAGTATATTTTCTTGTGACCTTCCGCAACTGAGGAAGCAATGGCTATTCTACGACTTTTTGAGCGCAAACATGATGTCTGGCTCTTTCGATGACTCATTGTTCACAATACACCCCAGGCAGAGCCATGGTGTAAGTTCGATGATGCTGAGGGACAATGGCTCCCGTACTCCCAGTCTGTGGAAAAAGACCAGCCGCCTCCGGATTGATGGCTTAGAAATTGATCATCTAAATCACGGTGCTGGAGGGATGTTTTCGTGGATACAGAGTGGAAATGTTGATATCGTTGCGGACATCATGTTCCCTGCGGAGAATGACCTTCAGTTTACCCAGGTGGTCCAGGACATCGTCGAACGAATGGAGGCTACAGTATCCCCGAACTCATCCAGAAAATTCTTTGACAACGACAATGGAAAGGCAGAAGATAGGAAAGCCGAAAAGTACGTTATAATGGATCTCCGAATACAGCTAAACGACGTCCGCGCCTCTGTGCCTTTATTCACAAAAGACCTAAGCTATGTCAACAACGCACTAATACGACCAATCGTGGCATACATCAATCGCCGAAAAACATATATCCCCATCAATTGCCGTGTTGTTAAGAAGCAGGACGAGTTCGACGGTAGTTGGACAATCTACGACAGTGGTTTGATGGACGACTTGTCTGCAGAGGTTTTACTCACGCCCTCGAGCATTCCCGATAGTCACTAACGAAATCTGTGTAGACATATGAAGGGTTTGCTCGCAGTGTAGTTGATGATCAAGCCAGACGAAGGCGATTCAAGAAAGTCGGATTGTGGTCGCTGCACGTAATTGCTCATACATTGTTGCTGGCCATGGCCGGGACTGTCGCATAATCTCACCTTCCAAACACACTAGCGCAAATTCATAATCCTACATTACACGCCGGAGTATACAACCTCCTAGTACATAGACAAACCTCCCAGTTTTATATCGTAGCTTCTTGTATTTTCTTTTTTTTTTATCTGGATCTTACTTTTGATGGGGAGTTGGTTTTGTTTTGATAGGGTGTAGATTTGAATTGTAGGTTATTGGCCTTCTTTTATGCCTAGTTATCGAAGGTCAGGATTGTATCCCTTCGCCGCTATAGAGTAATCAGTAGTTACACTGCCTATTAAGGAAGACAACACCAGTGGAACCGTCGAGTGATATTTTGTGATTACACAAACCCTTTCTCGTTAAGCGAATAATAACACTTCACCATTAATCACTCGATAATCATGTTGGATGAAAAGAGTTATATCGAACGAATTTAACACATCCTGACCATAATACCCTATCCCAATATACAAATTCATAATTACACGAACATAAAAATGTCTCTCGCTTCGCGAAACCAGAGGCTATTCACCACAAGGTACACAATCAAGTGTATCCAGCACAAACATTCCAACTATATGCATCCAACGGATTCGTCGGAATAACCCCAGCAGCCACAGCTTGCTGATATCCCCATCTCCAATCGTTTCTTCCTCCAATCCAGTTTACCTTCCAGTTCCAGTAAATCCACCCATCGATCTTCTCGTAACTCAAGAACTGGGCCGCCCACCACTTACGATACCACTCAACCGCGTCACTACGGTCAAGTGTGAACTCATCATTCCACTCAGCAGAGTCAGCAACACTGATACTCCACTCCCCTGTGATAACAGGCCAGTTTCCACTGCGGTCATCAGTGCACGAATGACGCATATAGCCATCTCGGGAAACCGTGACACCGGGGGTCCACTTGACGTAATGATGGTCGTCGTAGAAGGCGAAGTATAAGTCATCAATATTGGCATTGGGGTTTCCGGATCCCCACTTCTCGTTCATCATTTGGATGTGGACGTAGTTGTTGGCTGTGATACCAAGGCCTGACTCAACGGCCCGGATTCTCTTGAATGCCGTTGGGTAGTACTGGGAGATCATTGTTGCAACAGTTCCAGAGTTCTGAATGGGCTCGTTCACGAGCTGGATCGTTCCAACATTTGCAAAATTGGAATTGGTATGGACGATTTTGGTAATCCATTCAAGCCATTTGTAGGCTCTCTCGTATTGATAGTCCACATAGAACCCAGCGGTGGGTGCGTATTGCCCTGTGAAAGGCTGCTGGGCCTGCTGTGCACCGGGGGCACCATGAAGATCGAGAATGATGTAAAGCCCTGCGTCCCTTGCCCACATGCACACACGCTCCAAATACTGGAAAGCCCCTTGAGGAAAGTGCTCACTGTCGCTATACACGATATCTTCGTAGATCCAATATCCCAGAGGAATACGAACAGTGTTCAAGCCCAGACTGGCAATCTGGGTGATATCGTCTTTGGTAATCCAGCGGTTCCAGTGCGCCTGGAAGGCGGCGTTGGCTGCGGTTTGACCGAGGGCCAGAACACAGTCGAATTCGCTGACTTTGCCGGAGCAACCCATTGCGCTCCATTCGTCTTGCATCATCCATGGCTCAGCAACGAAGAGGCCACCAAGGTTCACACCACGGATTTTGCCCTCAGGAAGCCAGGCATTGGCGAACAATGGGAGGGAAGCTAGGACTGAGCCATAGATAAAGGCGGAAAGCTTCATTTCGGCCGAATGCTTATAGAGGGGAAGCAAAAGGACCCTTATGCGGTACCGGAGAAGGGAAACGATTCGAAGATAAAGAGTGAATGGCCTCCTACCCGAGATTGGGGGCGAGAAGAAAGCTTGTGAGTTTGGTGCTTTACATAAAATAGATCTTGGGCGAAATCATTGGCCTTATATCCTTTTCCCGAATGTGAGGGGCACACCACATCCACACCGTTAGTGACGGATGGATAAGCTGCTTTTTTCTTCTTTTGGGTTTAAGCCGGATTCTAGATATTAACTCTAATATTGCTTTAGGCTTGTTGGAACAAGTGTACCAAGTGAAGGGATATACTGGGTTGTCATAAAAAATACGATTTGGGCCTTAACAAACAAACCCATGTGCTTACAAGTACTGTACCTTTCCAGAGCTAACAAGGATATCCGGGGCAACGGTACTCCAAGTTTAAGACTGCTGAAACGTCTGTAATAGAAGCTATGTGCGATAAACTTGTCTTCGAGGTCCACATGTCAAGGTAACCAGGATGGTTTCATTGGCAATCGCCCAGTTGGGACAATGCAAGGAACAGCCAAGGATCATCTTGCAATTGGTGGATGGCTTCAATAACCTTTCCCACTTCAGTGTTACCCACACCCTACGAAACCTTGCCCTTGCCCCAGATTCACGCCCCTGGCTATGGGTGAGGCTGGCCCTGACTTGCCACTGGCATGTATGTACCTACATGTAAATACATGTGTTCGATATTATCCGTCGACTTACAATGGATTAGTTATCTTCCCACGCTATATTGACAGTCAAACATGCTAGTCTTCAATAAAGAAGCGGGGCATTGTACTACTAATCATATCTGCCTCCCTTAGTAGGGACTTGTTACCATTAAACCTGCAAGGTCTTCACTCTTAAACCCTCAAATCTCAGATCAGTTAATACTGCGAACAGCACATGTGCATGTACAAGTCACCAGTAACTAAGCTCAGAGAAGAAGATGAGCCTCAAGAAGGAAGGAAGAGAAACGAGGGCTGAAGCTAAGGGACAGTTATTTCCGGTCCCTATTAGGAAGTAGTACTCGGCACCGGACCCCGAGGTTCTGATCAAATAGTTCTATGAAACCTACACTTCGACTGTACTAGGTAACAAATGGTTTACCCCGGAAAATCGTCGGCGTTATTATTTGGCGCCAATCCAATGGTTGTACAAACTTGCGAAGGTAGTGGATAAAATAATTTCACGTTTGCACTAACGATAAAAACGGTATATACTTCGATACATGTACTTATATATCTTGTGACCTTAGTAATCGATGTGGTTATCCGAGTTCCGGGCTATGGCGAAACCTAGCTATAGGTGGACTGATATGGCTCGAAGCACAAGCCCTCGATATATTGATAGCCTGAACTGCAAGTCCATGCCCCCGACCACACAGGGTTGGCCTTTGAGCCCGGAGATAGTGCACGAGCGGAAAATAGAGGAAAGTCGCTGGTAACTGCATCGGACGAGGTTGTCCAAAACGATTATAAATCCGCGGCGAAGTTGGGTGAAGAGAAATATCAATCTCAGTGGCGCTGTAGTAATGATCAACGACGACAAAATATAGATGTTTGCGAGGTACCTGCATCAAACTTAGGTTTACTTGACCACCAGCTCATGGCTGATTGTTCTACTCGCACATGCGCAACGTACGACCGATATTCTGGTGAGAGGTTTTAAGTTACAAAGGATTGTATGAACAAGTATCAAGTTGAGTGGCCTCGGTGTATGGGGCGGTAAATGTGTCAAAAGTAATTTTATCAACGGTAGTAAATTATTTTACCACCGGTGGTGAAAATAATACCAGTATTTATACCTATAATCCTAATTTTTACAGACCTTTTGGCTAAAAGGGGCTATATAATGCCAATATATATGAAAATTGTCCACCGGTGGGAAATTTTCATAAGTTTTGGCATTAATGATTGAACATTTACTTATGTAGAATAGCGCAGCATAAAGACCGAAACCTAGTGTTTAAACCGGTGGGAAATGTACTAATGTAGGATAGCGTGCAGACACAATGACTGAAATCCAGTACTTATACCACCGGTGGTAAATAATTTACTACCGTTGGTAAAATTACTTTTGACACATTTATCGCTCCATATCGGTGACACGACAATTCGTTTCTTTCATTTTCAAAATCATAGCGACCCCTTGTACGTACTCGAACATGGATATGTCACATTCTGGAACCATCACGATCAAAGCTACCGTACAATCTTAGTGGCCACATGGGAGATATTAGTTTTTAAAGAATGCACAGACCAAGGCTGTATCAGTATAGCTGTGACTGTTTAATTGTAGGTACGTTGATGACCCGGGGTATGTGCTGGTGAAAACGCGTAGAATTTACGATCATTATTCAGTACAAGTGAGGTACTAACCAACTTTCTCCTCCCGGAATTCCAGCACCTTGATAATACCATTTCTACACGTTTGATGTGTGTCACCACAATCCAGGTACATTTAAATAGACTTTACAGGTTCCTGCAGAGAATATAGTATCTTCATCTCTGACAGGGGTGTTTAAATTGTGGCGCAGCGGGAGCAGTCTGAAGAATTTCAAGCATATCTTTGCTACGTTTAATTTAGTAATAATCGGGATTGTTAATGCACTCACTCGCCTGTGCTACCGGTGATCGATATGTCTTAAATTTCTAATCTAGCCCGGAGGACATGGTGGGGATGTAGACATGCCACTTGCAGGTACTATGTATACATGTCTCTATGCTTGCTTGTTCTCTTCCCATTACATGTAATTTTAAGTAACTTCACTCAATGAAAACTATACCACCCCCAGTACTTACATGTATAGTATTAAGGGTTGTGTACTTATTGCTATACATATATGATATCTAGATCTATGGATGGATAAACAACCTCCACCAAGAGACGAAGGGAGGGTTAAAGTACGGTCTAATCTAGTCGACTTTATGTACGCCTAGAGCCGGAATCGGAGTTCTGGATCAGTCTGATTTGGTTCATGGGGAATTTCAAAGAGGATGGTATGTGTTGAGCTAGTTGCCTAAGCTTTGTAGATCTCCGCCTCGCACTGCCTCGACGCAGGTACATGCATGCCTCTGCCTCGAGTTGTCTTGAT